GGCCAAAAATATATTTGAGATGGGCTTTCTAGCGCTTCGTCGAGTGTAGGCCCTTCTGCTAGCAGCAGTCACGTACGCAAGAAGTTTTACGGTTGCACCTTTACCTCCTCTATGAACGGTTTCATCTGTCATGGTGGTATCTCTGGTATGAGATAAATGAGGCATGTAGAGTGAAAGTGGCCTCGATTGTGCACTGTGCTCAACGGACCGGAGTTGGCTGATCGGACTCCGGACTCTCACCATAACCAACGTTGCTGAGAAGCGTGTTTACACTCACCGAAAACAAATTAATGGTGTTGACGTTCATTAAAGTCCTTTAGTATCATTATTAGCCGTGAAATTCTCAGTAAAGTATGACGTTATTAATGAGGGTATCTCCTTGAAAGTTTTAAGCAAGTTCTGGTTGGAAGTCTTTGTATGGGTGAGAACCTTAAAATCCCCACAAATATACCAACTCCTGTGGGCGTTCACAGTTGTTGTGCTGTACGATGTGCATTCTGTTTAAATGACATATGCGAGTTCCTTGCACTAGTGTCATGCAGAATGTTATTTTGCATTGCTGACTAGATTTACATTGTAAATAGTTCTGATTGATATTCTTAGCTCTTTCGGTAAAGTCACGTTAAAGGGAAACAATAAAATAATAAAATATATATAAAACAAAAGCCGTTGCTTTTCACACCTGATGATGACCGTTTGTGTTATGGTCGAAACGCCGTGATAATTTTTTTGTTATATATATTTTATTATTTTATTGTTTCCCTTTAACGTGACTTTACCGAAAGAGCTAAGAATATGAATTACTGCAGTCACGAAAGCTTTAAATCAAAATTTAGTTCTGATTGTTTATTATTATTAGTCATGCTTATGTATCCTTACCTTTGTTTTATGCGACCCCTGTAAACCTTCCCTTTTCACGTAACATGCTCAGCCGTTTAAAACGAGCTGCTGTGCTCAACAGGCCTTGCCTGAAATAAACGGACTCACCTCACAGCATGTGGCGCAAAACGTCGGACATCATGCTGAACAACTACTGTTACTACTCGACAATTTTATTTTACCAGGTAAGTCCCACTGAGCTACACGGCTTTTTTTCAGAAGCGACCTGGCCATCACAAAGCAGAGCGCAAAAGAAGTGGCTAAACAACGTGGAAATGTATATAAGCTAAATACTAAACGCGACTATTTCTAAATGTGGAGGGAAAGAACCGGAGGACCCGGAGTAAAAAATACACGCGACCACGGGGAGAACATGCCCTGTATACCGGGCGATGTAGTTAACATCTCGCCACCGTGCACACCCTTAGCTCCAACATAGCTCCTCACAGATATTCTACCCAAAAGCGACTGGCTGTACAAACGTAACAACGATTCAAATTTCAGATGATTATCTGACCTGAGAAGCACGCGAATATTACTCATTAAGCTGCAGCATGACACTTAAAAGTGCTCAAGTTAGCACAATCATGCACCGGAGCGAGTAAGAGTTTAACTTTTGAGATCTGTGGTGGCTATGCCACACACACACATTGTTTTTTGCCCCATCAGCTCATACAAATTAATAATACACCATATTTACACGTTAGTTAAAATAATAATTGCACAGCTCCAAGTCGAATTAATAATTAAGTTTTCAATGAAGCAGCAACAATGCACACGCGCGCGGGTTACTAACAAGGACGAGCATTTTCTGCGGTCAGTGAATGTTCTTCGAGCATAAAGTTTGCTTCTTTGCAGAAGGTAAGGGCTCGATTTGCTTAATATGAACTTCCTAAAGTCAATAGCACTGAGAATAAGTATATTATTGCACAGAAGTGTTTTTGCAGAGATGTTTAACTTTGTTGTGTATCCTTTACATCACACCTCCCATGCTATGTACATCTCGAGGCAACAGTAAAATAAAATCGGCGAGAGAATTAGTAAGAAAGTGATCGCACACACAACACTGTGTTCAAAAGCAGGACAGCATTGGCGATGTACGCCGACTCCATTTGAGTTATGCGCTCTAAAAATGCCGTCAAATTATTCTTCAATCGGATCTGTGTTAGCATTTCTGGGTAAACCCGTTCCACAGCTTTGGTGCCAAACACCAAATGTCCGTTCAGAAATGTTTTATTGTCAAATCCACCAATCTCGTAATATAAATGTTAGAGAATGGGAAGACACTTGTAAGTATAAATATTCATCTTAATTACTATTTGGTAGTAAAGCATATATGGAGCGCCAAGGTGACGTGATGTTAGCTACCCCGTCTGCTATACAGGAGATCGTGGGTTCGATACCGACCTTGAAGCCTGTATTGATAAACATGCGTTTAAGCGTATTTGTCTGCTATAAATTTTCACGTGATAAGCCACTTCGTTGAGCTGTCATTTGTGGCCAGGTCGCTTCTGAAAAAGAGTTGCTAAGTGGGCCTTACCTGGTACTTTTTCTTATACATACAGAATGCCTAAAAAAATGTTTTCAACACTTCTGAGAATTTGCAACAACACCACAAGAAATGTGCTGCTGCCTCCCGGCTCTGGAGACCACCTGGAGAAGATTCCAGGCACGCGTTGACAAATGATGCCGAACGAGAAGAGAAATGACTTTTTGAAGCTATTAACATACATTTATTTTCATGTTAGAGTGTATTATCCGTCCTTTTCCCATTAAAAACGATAGTCCCATATAAGTGTATTCTATTCTTGTTTAATTATATTTTCTATGTGACTCTACCGAAAGAACCAAAGAGTAATCCTGTATAAGCGCTAACACTTTTTCAAGCACCCTGTATTCATCGTTCGTAGATTACATTGCAGCCTGGAAATACACGCCATTGCTTCCGAATTGATGTCAATGTGTTACTTTCATCCATCGAGCCGGATGAAGTGCGATGGAGGGCCCAGGTTATTATTTCAGGGGGCCCTCCAACATTCAATTCCTACCCTTAACTGTTGTTGTACCACCACCCATACCTAAGGGCAAACACGCCATTGTTATTCACCTCTGTTATTTCAGTTCGTTTTTTTTTTAAACGTGGTATACGAATTGCAAAGCTGAATCAAACTTACAACGAACATATACGGAAATATTAGAACACAAGTGGTCTAAACACTGTGACGCCACGGCTGAGACGACTAATTTACACTATGGGATTCATCATCGTGCTGTGGTATTGTGTTTAAACCATGAAGTTGTGCATATATTTTTTTAGGCGTTAATCCTGTCCTGTTTACACAACACCTTTTGCACCATTTTAACTGTGCGATACAAAACCTGTTCAAAATTATATTGCGTGATGATTGAGTTTAAATTAAATTCAGAATCTATCGAATGTTTAACATTTTATTTAATCATAATAAAGGCTTTTTGGTTAGATCGCGTATAAATGTGTCGCAACCCTCTGACACGGCCAATCAGTAAAAAAATGTGTCACGTTAACAAAACGCCAACTAGTTACTTCTTCAGCCCACCGGTGTGTTTGAAGAGTGAATCCACAACATTTAGAATTTGAGTACGACGTTTCACTGGTAATTAGATCCAGCATCTTTGGGCGATTTGCCAGAATAGTGAAGCCATCCACCAGCTTCTGGTCTTAAATAGAGCAGGACGACATCATCATTGAACCCCATCAGGTTTTGAGATCAGAGGCGGAGGTGGAGGGGGGTATTGTAATTATATAATAGATTAGTAATCAGTTAATTATTATGTGATTCCTCTATAAGGAAATTAATATGTATTGTATATTACTTAATAATACGCTTCCAGACTGCGCTAAGTCTGTAGCTATCAGAGCAGTTAAAATTTTGGGTATTTCTCTCTATTTCGATGGATTCTCTAATTAGTCTTGGCCAGTAATAATTAGTTTCGCATAACACTTCAACGTTATCAAAATAAATTTAATGTCCTCTTTGGCAAACATGTTCTTCCACTGCCAACAGTTGTGTGTGAGATAATTTAATGTTCCTTTGGTGTTCTTTTAGTCTTAAGCTAATGTTACGTTCCGTCTGTCCAATATAGCATTTACCGCATAAGCAATTGCTCTGATATACACCTTCTGTTGATAACTTAGGTAATTCATCTTTAGTCCAAGGCATTCGTTTTTGAATTTTGTGTACCATACCAAATCTTACATTAATATTTTGCTTTTGCAAAACACGGGCTAATTTGTAAGTTACTCCTGAGATATATGGTATTTTAATTGCTTTGATAATATTATCACTTTCAGCAGTTTTGTTGTTCAGTCTTGGTTTGGAATTCAATGCTCTGTTAATTCGAGCATTATTGTAGCCATTCAGTCATAGTGTTTCTTTCACATGTTTAATCTCTCCCCTTAGACTTTCACTATCTTACACTGTTTTTGCCCGATGTATGAGCCTCTTGATGAGAAATAATTTCTGTGATTACTAATATATTATATAATTACAATACCCCCCACCTCCGCCTCTGATCTCGAAACCTGATGGGGTTCAACAATGATGACGTCATCCTGCACTATTTAAGACCGTAAGCAGGTGGATGGTTTCACTGTTCTGGCAAATCGCCTGAAGATGCTGAATTTAATTACCAGCGAAACGTACTTAAATTCTAAATGTTGTAGATTCACTCTTCAAACACACCGGTGGACTGAAGAAGTAACTAATTGGCGTTTTTTCATTCTAGATTTGAAGTTTTTGTGACTGCAAGGATCCATACTCTTGGTTCTTTCGGTAAAGTCACGTAGGTAAAGAAACAAACAAAATGATCGTACCCCCATGGGTTCCCCCTTGTCACCAGTGGTAGTGAATGTTTTCATGGAGAAATTTGAAACAGACGCCATCCAGACATCCACCCTACGTCCTTCCCTACACAAGCAGCCTTCCTCAGGTGAGGAAACAGGACTGTCCGGAAGACAGCGCTGTTTCTTCACCTGAGGAAGGCTACTTGTGTTGTGGCCAAAACGTCATGAGAATTTTATTCTGTTATTATTTTTTGTTATTTTATTAACATTCTACGTTACTTTTCCAAAAGAACGCAGAAGATGAATCCTTCTCCTATGTCATGACATCCCATTGTTTGTGTGTCATGACATCCCATTGTTTGTGTGTCATCACATCTCATTGTTAACAAGGGCTCCAAGCTCGGTTGAGATGAGCGGCACCTGCCTACAGGTGCTGGGCACGATCATCGCGTGCCTGGGTTGGGTCGGTGCCACGGTGGCGACAACCATGAACGAGTGGCGCGTGACGAGCCGAGCCTCCTCTGTCATCACCGCCACCTGGGTCTTCCAGGGCCTGTGGATGAACTGTGCCGGCAATGCCCTGGGCGCTGTGCACTGCCGTCCCCACCTCACCGTCTTCAAGCTGGAGAGTGAGGAAGGGGGGGGGGGGGGACACACCCCCTCATGCACAGCACCCTGGTCACAATGTGCAGCGGGAGCTGCAGTGGCATTGTCAGATGACGACGATGTCCGGGCCACGGGAGTGGTTAATTACGGGTCTGGTTTCTGTGATAAAAAATTTTGACCACGAGTACTTACGTTCTTCAACTGCAGTTCCCTCAACACAGTGGTGGATCCCAGAGGGCCAATGGACGCAATTGCCTCGTACTTTGTACCCTCGCACTTTGCAGCCTTCTCTATACAGTTGTCCCATCACTTGCTGTAATGAATGTCCGTTGTTGTAATGACTGCCAGACATTTCAACAACGGACATTGACCATGCGCAAGCCACTAACGAGCGCTCTTCTTCAGACTATGTGCAGGCTTGCAGGGCATTCATGATAACCTCCGTATTCTTGGGGTGTTTGGCCATGATCTGCTCTCCGTTCGGCATGGCGTGCATAAGGATCAGCTTCGTGAGTGACAAAGCAAAGAGAAACATCACATTCATCACCGGCTTCATCTGCATTCTACAAGGTACGCCGACTCTCGTTTAGCATATACCGTATCGGGATGCACTACACGTGCAGGTAATTCTCAATTATCTGGGGTATTCTGGGTAGGGGTGGCTGAAATAGAACAAAAAACATGAACAATAGAAATGTATTTAAATTGGGTTTTGCAATCGTGTGTGTGTGTTCATCCGATAGAGTTATGCACTTTAAATCTCAATTGAAAACGTATTTCTTTATAACTGCGTCTTATTCTTGGTTCTTTCGGTAAAGTCGCACCTCCGATAAGCACTGTCGGAAATAAGTTCAATATACATGCATAGAATGGAACTTTATAACAGAGACGATGAGAGGGATTTGCAAAACGGCCAATGCAAAGCAGGTAGTTAAATAGAGGATGGATGAGAGGAAACAGCTAATGCAGTACCAGTCATTGAGTTCGGTCGAGGCATCAAAGTGTCGAGGAGTAGTATGAGCAACCATGAGAGGGCATACAGAGGGAGGTGCGAGCGAGTTGACAGCAGAAGATGACGTCATGTCACGGGTGCTGTAAGGGGGTACACACCTTCGGGAACAAAGGCGGGCCCGAGTTAGGGGGAGGAGCCGCCCAAGGGATACTTAAGGGGGACCCCGTGACGAGGGCGTGGTCGTTGTGGGAGCCCGGAGTAAGGATTGGCTGGAGGAGGTCTCTCCCGCTTGTCGCTGGACGGTGTTGACTGAACCCCCGCCCGGGGCAGACGAGCGGGAGAGCCAAGGGGATAGCTGAGAGCGGGGCTCCAAGTATTCAGTGAGGATCGGCTGAGAGAGTGGGGTTCTTCTCTCCTCATTGCTGGGCGGTGTTGGATGACCCCCCGCCCCAGCCCGAGTTAGAGAGCCCAAGGGATAGCCGAGGGTAGGACGACATAGTGTTCGGGGGTCCAGGGTAAGGACCAAGAATTGAGAGCACCTACCCCTGGTGTGAGCTTGAGTGCTGACTGTAATAGTATTTAATAAACGGCAACAGCACTTATAGTAAATTCTGTCTCCATGTGGTTCTACTATACAACAGAAGCATGAATGTCATAGCGAACAAAGGCCGGTGGTTCGTGGTACAATAAGTGACAAGGATGCAACTAAATAATGGTATGGGAGTGATTATAGTTCATTATAAACCAAATAAAGTTAGATACTGCCTCTGAATAACATTCAAAATTATCTAATGAGGACTCGGAATGTGGTAACTGGTTCAGATTTTTCCCGTTAAAAACAAATAGTGCTGGGGAAAACTCTCGTCCAGGAAAGCCCCGAAGGCTAATGGGACTTACATACTCTGGTAATAGTTATGAAATACTAGTGCTGGAAATTTGTGAAAAAGAGCTTCATAGCTCATCGGATTCCTCCAGGAATAAATAAATATTCTCATTCTGAAATCTATACGTACGTGACTTTTTAGGCATTGGCTGCTTCTTCAAAATGGGAGGGCCCTTTGAAAACTAGTTTCTTGGCAGCTGTCACTCTGGTCCTGCTTATAGCTGCTGCTGCTTTGTTGCTGCTGCCTGTCTGTACACTGCCCCAGGCCTGCTGATTGTGAGCGCTGTGTCGTGGTATGCGTACCGCGTTACTGTCGAGTACTACGATCCCACCATCATCGGGGCAAAGTGAGTCATCGTGCGCCCCTTGACGGATCGACACTTCGCTTTGTTTGGTCCCTTTTTTCTCATTCGCGTCTTTTGAGTTTTCTTTGCTCACTTTGCATTTGGGAGAATTTGCCCCCACCCCCAGCCCCGGAAGTTGATATCGCAGAACTATTTCTGAAGTCACTTCAAATAGGCGTCGTTTTCGCGAGCAGCCCACGTACACATGGAAAGCAGAGAGTGCTCTTCAAATGGCAAATTAAACAACGTGCGTAATTATCAGGCCTTGAATGAACCAAATTAATACACAAATAATGTTTTGGTCATTTTACCTCATACTTTCACAACTATGCTCTCGGTGTCATTCAATGGGATGAAGACTTCACTCAGATCTCTTGCCGAGCAGTGCACCCTCCACATTACAGTTCGTCACATGACACTTAAACTTATGGTTTTGTTTTTTAGTTCTTGGTGTTGAAATGTATCCATATCAATTGCAACACTTGAATTTATCTTGACTTAAAGCTTTCGTGACTGCAGGAATTCATATTCTTTGGGTCTTTCGGTAAAGCCACATAGATAGAAAAATATAATAAAAATAAAAATATCATGACATTCGATCGCAACACATGCAATCATCATCATAGGGTGAAAAAAATATAGCGGGAATGCTGCTGAGGCAGGAAAAAATATAACGGGAGAGCAGCTGAGGCAGTATGTTATAAAGGTTTGAGATGGGTGTAGCCCAAAGGTCATAAGTGAAGTGGGCGGGGCTAGAGATGAAATCTGCATGAAAATGTAAGATCGGAGAGCTGGGCTACCTCCACGACAACGAAGCTGTGGAGGTGGCCATTGTATTGTGAAAGATTGGCATGTCAATGTAAGAAAAACGAACAACACGAAAACTACCGCCACATCGAGGAAAACGGGCAATGGTGGCTGTGTTAGTGAGACATTTCGCCTGTTAATGTAAATACATTTAACCTGGTAATTTAGCTCACAGAGTCGAAAATAACTGCTAACATCGGCAGTTAGGATGGAAACATCACAGGCAGTTATGACTTAAACTGGTTAATAACGTCCTTCCAATGATTGCTCAGTTTGTACCCATCTTCTCGGTTGAAATTGTGTCTGTGTTAATATACCTGGATGGCTTCATGAACGAATCTTTGTTGATAGCCAGTGGGTTTTCAAAGTACCTTTGTCTTGAAAAAAATCTATTTAGTGTGTGCCCACAGTGTTAAAACAATGATTAGGCATGGTCGAGGTATTGGTCCTACCGTGTTTCAGATCTGCCTTATATTCACGAACCCGGTCCGAGACATGTCGCTTAGTTTCCCCAATGTAACTACTGCCGCAGACACAGCTTAGTTCGTAGACGCCGGGGTATTGCATGCCAGGGATCACATCCTTCACAGATGGGATCAGATCACGAATGTTATGTACTGTGTTGAATAGAACCTGGATCTTGTGTTTGCTCATGATTTTGGAACTATTTTTGGTAACCCCTGCTATGTATGGCAAGGTGATGGTTTTGTTTGGGCCCTCAGATGGTTCTTTCCCAACGATTGGGGTGATAGCTTTAAGGATTGTGTAGTCTGAATATCCATTCATCTTGAGGGCTTGGTGTACGGGCTCCAGTTCACTGGCTAGGTGGTAATGGTCGGAAATACAGCGAGCTCTATGGTGTAGCGTTTTGATGAGGGAATTCTTCTGGGATGGATGGTGGTGGGAGTCAGGTCTTAGGTCTCACTAACACAACCACCGTTGCTCGTATTCCACGATGTGGCGGTGGTTTTCGTGTTGTTCGTTTTTCTTACATTGACATGCTAATCTCTCACAATACAATGGCCATCTCCACAGCTTCGTCGTCGTGGAGGTAGCCCAGCTCTCCGATCTTACATTTACATGCAAATTTCAACTCTAGCCCTGCCCACTTCACTTATGACCGTTGGGCTACATCCATCTCAAACCTTTATAACATCCTGCCTCAGCAGCTCTTCCGTTATATTATTTTCCTGCCTCAGCAGCTCTCCCACTATATATTTTTTCACCTGATAACGATTGCTTGTGTTGCGATCGAAACGTCGTAATATGTGTATTATTTTTCTATCTACGTGGCTTTACCAAAATACCCCAAAAACTCGAATTTATGTAATGAGTTTATTTGTGCAGTTATTGGTTGACAGGGCTAAGACCTTTAACTCCCAACACTTTAAGCCGGTTTAATGATACACGACTGCCAGTTCAGTTCTCTGATTGATCTCCAACATTTAGTTTAGTAAGCAAGGCGAGAAGAGCATTTTATTAATTTCTGATTTACTGCCGGCAGTGCTAAACTCCCAATCACTCCCCTACTTGGAAATTAGGCAGAACCCTCCAGGAAATGTCATGAGACTCTGAAGTATTCCTGGGTAAATAAGTATTGTCATGGAAATAAGGTGTAGGGTTCAAATCCTAGTTAGGGGTCAACTCAGGCCATCATCATTGCAGGTGATCCAGAGCAAGCCAAAATACCTACATGAATCTGATTATACTGGTAGGAACCTTCTGGTTACACTAGCCCACAGAGGATTATTGTGTCCGTCCGTCCGTCCGTCGTGCATCCAAAAATGGGAGGGGTGGGGCTGGGTGGAGAGGGGAGGGTGGGGAGGGGCTAGGTGGGGAGGGTGGGGAGGGGCTGAGTGGGGGTGGGTGGGGAGGGGCTGGTCACCCCGTGGTGTCCTTATAAAATGTTTAACCTACTCACGTCGGCTTTGGCCCACCCTCACAGTCGGGCATATTTGCGGAATACACCATGCCGCCGCTGATCCTTGCCATTGACCGAGGAACCCAACGTTCCTACCAGCTCCCTGCACAGGAATGTGTTTTTAATTTCGACTGACTTGATATAGACATATCCATATTTGTCTGTCATCCTTGCAGGTACGAACTTGGCACTGCCTTATTTATTGGATGGGCGAGTGCCTTGCTCACACTGACTGGAGGGACCATCATTGTCTGTTCAGGTGTTGGACGATCATACAAGCAGCCCAGGTGTGTGTGTGTGTGTGTCTTTGTTGTGGTAGTGCAACCGTTTTTTGCGTGCCGTGTTTCCAACCCGGTGACCCGAGTTCGATGCCCGCTCACGGCCAACACCAGTGACGATTATTTGAACTGGTCCTGTGCCTTCCCTAGGTAGACTCAGCCTCAGTTGAGTATCTGGTGCGGTGTGTAGACATCGCCACGAGGGAGACAAAGGTGGTCCGGCGTGGTGCTGGCCACCCACCCCCTTCATGTGCTGTGCCAGTCTTCATTGGTGCCCGCTAACAGCACTTGCCCCAACAACCTGTTAAGGGATCTTTGTCTTTGCGCTAGTGTAGTGATCGGCGCATTGCACGAGGAACTGAGTGAATATCTGAATCACCGTATTGATGTAGTAGGTTTTCACGGCTCGATGAATGAGAAATGCTCTTAAAAGTTGTTCTTTTGGGATAGCCGTGGCGAGCGCTGCTCCCGTCTCCTTGGCGACGTTTCACCTCCCATGTTAGAGGCACACCGCAGTATACTGCTGTGGTAGCGAGATTTGAACTACCTCGCCTGGTATGCAGGAGGTCGTGGGTTCGATCCCGACCCTGACGCCTGTATATTTGTAGTCTGCGTGTTCTCGCCGTGGTTGTGTGGATTTTTCTCTCGGCCCTCTGGTTTTTCCCCTCCACATTTAGACACATGCATTTATAGTGTTTTGCTGCTATAAATTTCCACATGATGAGCCACTTTGTTGAGCTATCATTTGTGGTCAAGTCGCTTCTGAAAAAGAGCTACATAGCTCAGTGGGCCTTACCTGGTAAAATAAAATAATTAAAATGTTCGTTCAGTTATACTTCCTGAAGTACATTTGAAGAATATTTGACGAACATAACCAAGATACATGCAGGAAAGTTGCGAGAGTGGAACTAAATAATGCACTCTCGTTTTTTGCAATGTGTAGTAAAGAACAAATTTAACTGACCAAACTCTTGACTCTTACGGACCCTCTCAGGATTGCTCTGTCAAATCCACACACATCTCCGATGCTGCCAAGGACGTTCAAGAGGCAGCCTTCAGAGCTAAGTGCCAAGAATTACAAGGCCAACATGTACGTCTGAAACATGTTGGACTCAAGTCAAGGGGCCTCTCATTCTCTGTTCAACGTTTTATCAAACTTGGCAGAAGTCCACATTGTGAGTCCAGTTAGCCCTCCGGTGTGTTTTCAGATAGGCGCCACGTGTTTGTATGGAATGATATCCGATGAAAAGTGTCCACGTGCTGAGAGCATCTTCAACGCGTGTTGGTATCTTGTTCAGCACATTGAGCGAAACGTCGGACACCATGCTAATCGGCATGTGTTACAACCCGAACACAGCATCGGAGTGCTATGAAACACGAGTGTGTATTAAAGCGTAAATGGTAAGCATTTCTAGATTGGTGTGTGTGGTATTAAAATGTATAACGGGTCTGCTTATGAAAGGAAACGTGTGCACAGCGGACTTTGCTTACGTGACCGTTCTCCGCATTCTAGCGAGATAAAGTGTATATCTTCAGAAGCAAATTATTAGTCATGAATATAATCTGTGCATAAACCTATCGACGGCGTACTTGCTGTATATTTACTGATGTTCACGTGATGTTACACAGTGCTCATGTTAAAGTAGACATTAATTTATTATTGATCACATGAAATTGTTACATTAAGCACGCAATTTCGCTCGGTGTTAGTAGCTTCAGATAATTTACAAGCAAAGTTTTAAACGAGAGCCGACGGTTGCGTACAGACATCGGCATTACGCTTGTTCTTCTGCAGCGGATGACAAAAAAATATAAAAGCTCTTACCGGAAAATGAATAAAATGCACAATTAAGTAGTAATTACAACAACAAAAACCCATCAAGCAAATAACTGAACGGCTGTTAAGTTACGGCCGATAATGGAGCAATCACAAAACGAGAACTAGAAGAGGATAATGAGAAGACGGGGAGCTCCCCTCCCCAGCAAAACGATGTTATTCATATTAAAATGTATCATTTCTATTCGTTTATTAAACATTTTCTTACAATTCAACGAACGTGTATGGTGATGCTGCGTTGGCAGTGGCGCGTAGGCACAGAACAACAAAAAACTAAAAAAATCCACTTGCATTCGTCAACGGCACCGGCTTTAAAAGGGAAACAAATTGTAATTGGCTAACGTTTCGGGCAAGGGCGCTTCTGCATTTGTTTACTTGCTGTGCCTTTTATATATTCTTTCTTTTAACACGGGGTTTTTGACGAACGTTTTTTTTTAATCCATCCTTACTGGTTTGAAGCTGAATTAACACCCATCACTGGGGATTAAAATTGACAATCGCAGTGATAGAAACAAAAATCTCACACGGAACATATTCCCTCCAATTCAGAAGCGTCTGCTTAGGTAGCCAAATCATTATACGTGGCTCATGCATTTTGCCATTCAGTGAGTTCCTTAACCTGAAACTTGACCAAGCATAGATTCAACACCCGTCAATCAACCTTATCTAGAGACATGCCTTTAGTCAGGGGTTGGGTATCCGTACGGAGTGTTAAATAAATAGGACTTCAAATGACGTTTACACTCAACCTTCATTACTCGAGGCCCGTGTGCATTGACTGCACACAGATACCAGAAGGACAGTGACGGCAAGGTTGAAAAATATCCACTTCTTGCGCCAGGTTGGTGCTGCTAAGACGCTGCTGGTAACGGATGCGTGTAGTTTGCAGGCTGTTTTGAGGTTGTGCACCCCGTGTGGCTGCCGGTCGTATGAACTGAAGTTGTTGGTCTGTATGGGACCCACGTGACTGTCGGCTCCCCAACCCCTGTTTTAAGTTGAATACCCCGGTTGGTATGTTCCGCGTGAAATTTTGTGAAGCAGATTGTACCATTCTCTTACAGTAGCACTTGAACTAGCCAACAGCAGAACTTCGAAGAGGGGAGGTCTTGAGGGTCACAGATGGTGTAACTATTTCAGCGTTTGCATTGTAGTTTACTCCCAAGTGATGGTGAAGGCTGATGTCAACGGAACAATTTGGCCTTGTAACTCAATGATAAGGATCTGAAAACAGAAACAAAATGACACGAACAAATATGAGATTGCATTGCTAGCAGTGTACAAGCACAAATAATAACAAAAGTACCCAATTTTGTCATTAACACTCCCCTTATAGCATAAATAATGGCCACGATACAACGTCACATATACGACCTCACCTTTGGACTGCGGTATAGACGGAAGCGTGATCATTCGTGTCTGGGAACATGAAAATGTGTGTGAATACACAAGACTTACTTGTGTTCCTGAGACTTGACTGATGGTTACATTCTGGAATGTGCCGCTGCTATCAATATCCAGCTTAGCAGATGTGATTGTGGCCGTCGCGATACCCAGGACTTTCACTGACTCCAGCACGAGCCCAGCTGCATCGCTTTCTGCGCCGTCGTGTGCAAGCCTGTTACGCAGGGTGCTCACAGTGCCATTCTGGTCACACACCGCAAGCACCACATCAAGTACAATACATGGTCAGCAACATTGTGAAGCATTGTGATAGCCAAAGTAAATCAAATCGTGTGTGTGACAATTAAGAGGCACGGGTGGTGGGAAAATAATTAGGGGGTAGATCTGGAGTGAGTTTTTCGACAGTCTGACAGACATGGAGAGACAGGGAGACGGATAGATGCATGGGAAAAATAAGACTATCAGGTGAAGATCGAAGCACGGGGAGAGAGAAACAGACAGCGAGACAAACTGAGATGGACAGACACAAACAGAGATACAGACACACACACATTGTAAGATACAGATACGAAAAATATCTATAAAGACAACACAAAGACAAGGCAACAGAGCCACATGGAGCATGGTAGAGAGACATAAGTGCAAGAGACACGTAAGTAGATCATCGCAGAAAGAGATAAGGTGAGAAGGGAGATGAGGAAATAATGTAAAACAAAAAATAACAGACAGATAAAGAAAATGTGAGGTTGACAGAGAAATGGAGACAAAGACAGCAGATACAGATGTTGATTTCCCACGGGCATTTCTGAAAATTTCAGACCGATCCTGGAGCATTGCCAGGAAGTCTTAGGTCTCTGGTCTTGTCCCCATGTGGCTCATGTGCAAATGGTAAACTTTATGCTCTGGCAAGACGTAATCTCTGATTTTGGAAATGTTCTCCAATGTAAAACAAAAAATGACAACGTTGGACCTGTGTGAGAGACGCCGTTAATGGCAGGTGCATCTTCTGCATTGACCCAGTCGCATCACCACCGGCTGGTCCTCTTGGCAAAGTGGGGCACTGCGGTTGGGAGATGTTAACTACGTTGCCTGGTACACATGAGGTCACGGGCTCGATCCCGACCCTGACGCCTGTTTTATATTTGGAGTTTGCGTGTTCTCGCCACGGTTGCGTGGATTTTTCTCAGGGTCCTCCGGTTTTTCCCTCCACATTCAAAATCGACGTGCGCTTATAGTACTTGGCTGCTATAAATTTCCACTTCGTTGAGCTATAATTTGTGGCCAGGTCACTTCTGAAAAATAACTATATAGTTAATTGGGCCTCATCTGGTACAAAACAAATAGATATTTTAAAGTGAGCTACATAAATTAGTTTCCTGGGGGTGTAACTCTTAGGTTAAGGTGGCGATCTATCATCCAGAGAACAGGAAATTCTCCTTTTATCTTTACTTTTGTAAATCTGGCAGGCTATGATCGTAGAAGGATCATACATGCCGAAAATCGAGCTAAATGACAAAGTCGTTGTGAGATCATAATTTTCACGTCAGAGCTGTTTCTCGGAATGCAGTCATCACTCCCACGAAGCCAATCAATGGCCTGCCAGACACACGTGACCACCCATTGAACTTCCCCCGGCATTATTCATCACTCGATGCTTAAGCCGTTCTGTGGTTAAAGTAAGAGTGTTAATTTTTATTTAAAGCTTTCGGGACTGCAGGGACTCATATTCTTGGTTCTTTCGGTAAAGTCACGTAGAAGGGAAACAACAAAATAATACAAATATAAAACAATTAAATTCTCACGACGTTTCGACTGCAACACAAGCAATCATCATCAGGTGTGAAAACCGCAGCAATATATATTTTTTTAAAAAGGTTGTTTTATATTTTATATTATTTTGTTGTTTCCCTTCTACGTGACTTTACCGAAAGAACCAAAAATATGAGTGTTAATGTCATTCATTTTCCTTCCCGTGACCTGTCCTGCCTATGCCCACGTTCATTACTTTTCAAAACAGTCTGAATGATGCCATTAAGTTGATCAAGATCTCTAACCCATTGTCTCTCGATGCAAATACAAAGGACGAGTCTCTCTGTGCTTCTTTGAACACACTTTCGATTATTTGGACACTTTACATTGTCTTCAGCAATGTCCACGGCTCTGATCCATGCCACAGCAGGCAGTAGGCATTCATTGAGAACATTTCAATGTGTCCAAGGAGAAACACGAGTTGGTAAGCATTGCAGAATCCGTGTGTGTGCATGATTTTTCTTCCTTATTGTATCTCGTCTGCAGAATTGCTCATTGTCGTCTGTCGTTTTCACGAGGCAGATGGGAAACAAAGTTATTTGCTGCATTCAGATAAAAATATGAGTTCTTTAAGGTTATGGCATATCATAATTATACCACAGAGCCCACTCACCTTAGTGACTTGGAACGTGGTCAAAAAGTATTTCTGTGTTTCAAATGTGTCTGTTGCAAAAAAAAAACAGAAAAAATTATTGTACGATACTGCAATGCTGCTATCCTCCCTCAGAATGATGGTACTCAATATATAATATTGCTTTATACATCTTGAACACCCGCGTTTGTATTTGAATTACAATACAAAATAACATATTATTTTGGTCTTTCGGAAAAGTCACGTAGATGGGTTCCAAGAAAATAACCAAAAACTACGACGTTTCGATCGCAACACAAGCGGTCGTCATCAGGTGAAGGGGGTTTGCTTCTAAAGGCTAACCCCCCTATCTACGTGACTTTACCGAAATACCCAAAGAATATGAATTCCGGCAGTCACAAAAGCTTTAAGTCAACAATTCACGGGGCAAAACAGATCAATGTTTGTATCGTACATTTTGTACAAAGTTGCTGCACTGTGTTCTTTGGTGGAGAGCTCTTACCTACAACATCAGCAAGCCAGCGGCATTTGTTAAGTAGGCCACGCTGCTGACGACACTCATAAAGTGTGTTGGCTCAGAGGTTGTCTGCTTTAACAATTTTCTGCTGGAAAACATTGTTCCACAAGACCCATAGTTTTATTTATATATGGATTTTTCAAGTTATTTGTTTACCTTTCCTATACTTTGCACTCCCGTTGTGTTTTTTTAGTATTGTTTCTTGTTGTAACGTTCGGAAAAGAGCTTCATAGCTCATCGGATTCCTCCAGTATAAATACATATGATTCTGACATGCTGATATGGGCCAAAACGTTATATTTTATGGATTGACGCAGACCCTTGCCTTTGTAATTATGAGTAGCAGCAGAGGGCAGCAAACCCCATTGTTATATATTACTTTACTTATATGCTCCTCTCTGTGCTTCCTGCCTTCACCAAAGCGTATTTTTTAAGTTGCTGCATCGGGACATGGAATCGAACCGGTGACCTTTGGGTTGAAAATCCTGTGCGCTGACCAATGTACCATGGGCGGCTCCCTTAATTTTTTAGTTCAAAAGGTAAACTTATGTTTACTGCCGGGCATATCTATGTGCGTGGGAAAATGGTAACCAATTTATTACCGATGTTTTTGCGTGCATAAAAGAAACCCCACGACCATAACACACCCTAACATTCGCTACTCTATGGGACGTCTGACAAAAACATGAGTAAGCTGCAGCGTGTACAACATTCTTTGGCACGTGTCATGATGGGTACTGCAAGGTCCGACCATGTCCGTCCGGTGCTCGCTAAGCTGCATTGGCTTCTGGTTGCTGAAGAAATATATTAGAAGGTCGTGCTCATTACACACGAAGTGCTTGCCACGAATGAACCACAATACATTGCTGATCTCACAAAGGAGCATAAACCACCACGCAAACTCCCGTCATCCTCGCAGCAGCTTTTTTGTTTTGGCGAACCACCGAGTAAAGAGGGTCACCGCATCGCACGCTCTCAGACGCGCTTCTGCGGCCGTCTGGAACGCTCCTCCGATATCAGGAAGCCACTTGCGCTATGCAAGTGGCTTCCTACGTACGGTGCGAAAGAAGTTCGACATACATACGACCCATAACTTGCCAACTCTTGAACAAAAAAAGCAGCTTACCAATGCCGTCACCATCGTCCCAGAAGAGAGATCCCGTGGCAGTCCCCGAAGAATCCGGTGCCACAAGCAGTGACATGGGCTTCTGGCGACTGCAATCCACATCGCGGCAAAGAAATGAACACCCAACACGGATAAAATTTTGATTTAAAGCTTTCGTGACCGCAGTAATTCATATTCTTAGCTCTTTCGGTAAAGTCACGTTGAAGGGAAACAATAAAATAATAAAATATATATAAAACAATAAAAAAAATTCTCACGACGTTTCGACCAGAACACAAACCTGATGACGACCGTTTGTGTTATGGTCGAAACGTCGTGAGAATTTTTATTGTTTTATATATATGTTATTATTTTATTGTTTCCCTTCAACGTGACTTTACCGAAAGAGCTAAGAATACCCAACACGGAATCAAGCAGCATCTTTATTCATCCCGGAGGAATCCATTGAGCTATGAAACGCTTTTTCGCAGTTGTCAGAATCTGCATATTTATTTATACTGGAGGAATCCGTGTCGGAGGTGGTGGTATCGGGGTGAGCACTATGAATTAGGTGCCCTGAGTATGCCGCTTACATTAGTGGTGAATGATATCCACATCGGGTTTGGGACTTCCCTAGGCTGACTCAGCCTTAAATATCACCTGTACTGGGAGAAACAAAGGTAGCCGGGCATGGTGCTGGCGGCACCAGCACCTCATGCGCCATGTTGGCCTTAATAGGTGCTCTCTAACAGCACTTGCTCACGACATTGTACGTAAGCTATATTAGGGGATCTACTATATGTCTTTGCAGAGGAGCAGAAATTCAGTATTTAGTACACTGCATTTTAATCCTAGTGATCTGTATTTTAATTCTAGTGATCTGTATTTTAATTTCAGGGGAAGATCAATGGCAGCTGGGATCTGAACCTGTACTGGGTCTCCCCTAGGTCAATTCAGCACTAAATACAGTGTGTTCAATTAGTGGTGAGATGTTAACTCCCTCGCCTGGTATGCAGGAGGTCGTGGGTTCGATCCCGACCTTGACGTCTGCTGTATATTTGGAGTTTGCATGTTCTCCCCGTGGCCGCTTGAATTAATCTCCGGGTCTTCCGTTTTTCCCCTCCACATTTAGAATCAACGCGCGTTTAGAGTATTTGGCTATGTCCATATGATGATAAGCCACTTCGTTGAGCTAAAATTCTGAAAAAGATCTATACAACTCAGTGGGGCCTTACCTGGTAATTCTTTTTTAAAATAAGTAGGTGTCAACATCATCCACGAGGAGACATTCGGCTGAGCGTGGTGCCACCCTTGTGCCGGTGCCAGCCTTACTAGGTGTTCGTCAACAATACTCCCTCCAGGAGTGTGTAAGGCCTACCAGGATACCTTTGTGCTTGCTTACGTGTGAAAGTACGTGTCTGTCCACACGTGCGCACGATGCGATCAACGTACCTGTACTTGGTTGTGTTGGCCGGCTGTTGCGTTGGAAGGATATAGCCTCCCCGCACGTGCAGGTTAATCGTGTCCCAGGGAGCATTCATCTCTTTGTACTCCTTACGCTCGGTCAGTTGGGCACCCTTCATATGCAATGAGATCGAGGGGACAGGATAAGGATTTGCCTTATTCGGGTTCATCTCAAAGCGCCTTACATCACCTCTCAACTATTTCACTGCTTTCGGGATTCTGTCCAAGAGGAACCCTCGACTGGCATATTTTTTACACACTGCAACAAAGTATGCAGACACATTACGTTGCAAATGGTTGTAGTCTGCCAGCAGGGGGCGATGTTGCTTCGTGGGTCTTCCCAAAACACCACATTGTAGCTCACATTGGACAAGTACGTATAGGACAAGCAGTGCCAATCTTTCTTATGAAGTTCAATTCATCAGCCTCTCCAAGATTGAATGAGTGCAGGGCAGTGCTCATTACCATGGTGATTATAAGTCAGTGGTGGAGATTCCATATTTCTATGGAGGGGACCAGGACTGCCCATAGGATATTCCATCTCTATTTCTGAAACTTTTATTAAGCCCTGGAGGAATGATGGACTAAGTGGACCTCAACTCAGATTTGAACCATTTTTGTTGCAAGTCAAGTGCTCTGACCACAGGTGCCACTTAGCCAACTCTCGCCTCGTTGCAGACACAATAATGGGCATCATCATTATCATTAAAAAGATCATAGGAGAGAGTTCTAAAGTTGAGTGGTCTCAGTGAAGGCGGAGGAACACATGCAAGAGATCATGCTCAGTTCAGAATGGATGAACGAAGCATGATGCGTGGCTCACCGTTTGATAGTCGTACCAACGAGCGTCGGGCACGTAGCCTCTCACAGTCACCTTCTCCTGTGAAACCAGAGCACAGCAGCACATGCAGGGTAAACGCAGCCGTGCTACTTTGCATCAACGGGAAAGGGTATTGTTCCTGAACAGTGGAAAGTCTCTGTGGGTCACCAAACGTGGACTCTTTGCGGAGATAAGGCTGCCCATTCACACCAAATATCATTTGAAAATTTTATTTTCACCAAAGGTGGCATATGGCAGCAATGAGTAGTCCACCCATGATGAACAAGTATGGTCACCAAGAACCGTACCATAAACTACCACATTAAATGCAGGCTTTAAATCTTGACGACCGCTCGTGTTGCGATCGAAACGTCGTCATTTTTGGTTATTTTCTTTGAACCTATCTACGTGACTTTACCGAAAGACCCAAAGAATGTGTACGTTTGAAGTGAATGCTTATTTAATTCGGGCTCAAATAATAAAATACGTTGATGTGACCGGCGGTGTGACACATAACAGGCGTGCCTCAAAGTGTGGACCAGGATTTTGTGGCGTGATCACCCGAAGTCACCGCGACACAGGGCGGTGCACCGCTCACTGCGGGACACGCTGAAGTGAAATATCGTCGTAGATGGACACGATGGCAAACAAACTGCAGAAATTGGATGTTTTTTTCTCCCCAATTCTTTGGCACGGCGCTACAACTCTGCACCTGGGCCAGACCGTCAGCGATGAGCCCGGTCATCGGGCCTCGTTGCTTTAAACCAGTGGTCCTCAACTTTTACTGCAGTCTGCACCGCTTTGGTTCTGAATCGTTAAAAAAAATCATAATGTTTATAAATGCACAGGGTTTCATGAGATAAAGTAGTTGTACTCACGTGCTCGTGCTAAATTTGTGTTCTCGATGATTTACTTTTGAAAAAAGATCTGGCCATGTCTCGCCACCCCCTAGGAAGGGAATCTCGCACCCCCAGGGGGTGAGTGCACCCCCAGGGGGTGAGTGCACCCCCAGGGGGTGAGTGCACCCCCAGGGGGTGAGTGCACCCCTAGGGGGTGAGTGCACCCCCAGGTTGAGAACCACTATACGTTGAGCCAGAGGTATGATTGGAATTACAAAGAAAAAAAAGAGGAATTTTAGAATAACACCTGGACGTACATAACAAAAAAAAAATTGTGCCTTTTGTATCAGATGCTTACGTGAGACAATAACACATATATTTATGATAATTTACAATTAACATTGCAGGGTTGTGGAATAATGTAGTTTGTGAGGCCGAGTTTCTGACTTTTAGATTAATCTGAAAAATCAAAAAAATTGTCGAAGGCACAACATTGTGACCCTAAGTGAAAAAATAATGTAAATTTGTGACGATCCTAAAATGTAACACCATAGGCAGTGGCATTTCTTCCACGGTGTCGTATCTGTGCTTTTTGCTGCCAAACATTCCATCGCATTTCGTCATTTTGACGATCACTTTTGTTTGTATTATTAAAAAAAACGTGAAAATGTGTGCATTAAAACGATGGTTTACTGTTGGAATTTTACGTCAAAATTAGAAAATAGAATGAATCATATTTAAAACACACAAACAATGACAATTGTATAAACATTTCCAATATATAAATTTGAAAATACCCCCAAAAATTGTTCTGAAAATCCTAAACTACTATCTCTGAAAAAAATGTTAACTGAAACGTTTCCCTTGGAGGGTTGTGTTTGTGTTCAAAGTGTGGACGTGATTGATTTGGTGACAATACAAACCTCCTCCAGCACAGGAGTTATGAGAAGTGCTGGACCCCAAAGGAACTGCTTGGAAATTGCCCAGGTTTCATTGTCACTGAGAAACCTGCACATCATAAATGAAAGCACAACAGAAAGCTTCGAGTTAGTGATGTCATCAGTGGCAGCTGAGCCGTATGCTGCGTTAGACAGCGCCCACGTCGATACATTCACTTAAAAAAATGATTCACTACGGTATGAGCTTTAGTGGTTTATAAGAGATAATGATTTTCACAATAGCGATACACTACTTCGCTGCTCCTGACGCAGTTATCTGGGCTTCACCACCTGAACGTGAAATTGTAGTTTGTTGGCTCTGCATCTACATCAGCAGCCGTACAAAAGAAGGCAGTGATGAGTTTGAACCGAGGTGTTAGCTAATTTGCAAAATAATTAATGCTAACGCTGATGATATTAATACTAATAATCCCCTGGCATGGACCAGCAGTAGCGTGTTTGCCACTTGTTGCGAGAGGTTCGCAGTTCAAATGTAGCAGGCGGCTCTGGTTATTACCGCAGGTATAGTAACAGTAATGCAGGTGCCGTCTGCCTCACGGTGGACGTTAAGTATCCCGAGATGGCATTCGAAAAGAGTGGGCAATCTTGCGTGCTGGTGTCGTGGCATGAATATTCCAAATGAGAAAATTATCCGCAAATGTCTCCCAACATCGCCCCCTCTCTACCGTGACACTACTGCAGACTCGTGTACGTGAAAAAAGTGCCTCCATCATAGCCTTCAGCTATAAACATGGAGCGAATATGAAATGCACTCAATTGTCATTATTATTATTATTCTTGTTGTTGTTGTTGCTGTGAGTGCATCAACGTGAATCTCACTCGTGAAGGAGGGGACGCACGACAGTGGAGCCGTGGGCGTGGGCCTCGTGCATGAGGGTGTAGAGGTATGGAAGCAGCGAGTAACGGATCTCCAGCACTCTCTTGGACATTTCGGCAAACGCTGTGTCCCAGGCCACGGGGTCTTGCCGCTGAAGAAGAATTTAAAACAAGGAAGGAACAAAAATAAGTAATAATCGTGCACGCGCGTGGAATTCCGAAATGCTTTCCAATGTGAGAATGTCCACCGAAGGATTACTTCTGACATAGATGCGTACTTTGTATGGCATATGGATCAGAATGTGTGGGAATTCCGACCTTCTTTGCCTGTCATCCGAGGAAGGTGAAATAACCAGGAACACCCAGAAGACTACATTCGCTAGGACCAAATCCTCCACAATCAGTGTGTACAGGATATTTAATCAATAAACCATCACGCAAACTCCAGCCATCCTCATAGCAGCAGCTTTTGGCTAACCATCGAACAAAGACAGTCACTTCAACGCACTCTTTTAGATGCGCTTCTGCGGGGTTCTGGAACGCTCTTCCCTCCGATATTAGGAAGCAACCGGAGCTATGCACCTTTACATCTAATTAAAAAAAAAATGTTCTTTAGAACTGCTTTTGTGTGAAGTTTGTTGTCCTTCCCCCAAACCACTGATTAGCACGGTTGGCTATGTACAATGCGAACGAAGTTCAATGTACAATCTGACCACTTTTTCGTTGAATTCTAACAAGTATACTGAACTAAGAACTGGGTGCTCCAACCCAGATAGAGTATTTGGCCGCTATAACTTTCTACACAATAGGCCACTTCGTTGTGCGATTATTTGTGGCAGGGTCGCTTCTGAAAAAGAGCTAAATAGCTCAGCGGGCCTTACCTGGTAAAATAAAAAAATATTGTAAAAATGTAAGAGTCGTTTTAGTTCCAATTTCGGCCTAATTTGTGTTTTGCATAAGATCAATAGTATATTGCCATTAAAGAGGGCTTTGCCAGAGGAAAAAACTGCTATGGTACCATGTCAACAATTATACTCCAGCCAACACAGTTTTATAAAAAAAAAACAACAAAGTCGCCGTGGTTTGGACTGCTGTGATTCACCGTGCATGTGTGGTGCCTGCACTCACGATGTTCCCCTTGCCATTGTGGTTGCGGGAGTATGGGTAGAAGGCTCCCAATTGCATCCAGCGAGCACACAGATCGTAGTTGGAGTCCCCAAAGAAGCCACAGATGTCAGCGCCCGTCTGAGCACAAAGTTTAGACAGTGTCTCACACAGCACATCACAAGACAAAATAAAAAGACATGACGCACGTCAAACCCGCACCACACACCCGCACAACACAGATCACACCATCACCCCCCACTGGCAAACTAATTCCCATTAGCAACCTGGTGCTGCATTCATCTTGTGCCGTGTAGGGATAGCTGCCACTGGGGGGGGGAGGGGGTCTCCCTTGGCTACAGTGCAGCGAGGCGTTAAAACGGTTGAGATGACACGCAATGTTGAACTTCTTTCGCACCGTGCGTAGCCAACCATGCTCACTGGAGATGATGAAATTGTGCTCCGAGTGAGATGCCAGGACATTTAATGACCGAACTGAACCGAAAGCGCACGGAGGGGCGGAACCTCATCGCTGTTGGTAGCCAGTGGTGGACAGTCTACATTCCCATGACAGGGAGCAATTACTTATCACAAATTCTAAAGTGCACGCGGAACAAATGCTCGCGTTAAAAATAGCTGAGTCGACCGTTATTTTTTTAAAAAGGATTGCCACGCAGCACGAATGCCAACTTACGTAAGTGATGCCAAACAAGCTGAACTCCATCATGCCTTAAACACAAAATTAGACAGGCGTTAACAACAGCATACGGAACACATCAGTGGCATGTTAACCAGGCTTGGCTAAAAACTTAACAGGTAAGTAAATCGGTTACATTAAAATCTAGGAGTTCACAGGCCACTTGTGACACAGGAAAGGAAGGAACGGAATTAAATGGGGGAGGCATTTACCCTCCTGGGAAGTTACAGGCTCACAATAACGACAACACATACGTTATTTGTCCAGGAAAGCCTCACAGATTATCAAGACTTGTTTACTGAAGGGCCCTGGGTTGGATCTTCATGCAACTGGGAAGAAATTAGAGTCCCGGCTAAATAAACTACCACTTGGGTGTAAATAACACCTGAAGGTCAGCACACACGGGTTTGTCATTGTACTTGCTGCATAACCATATTCTGGCCACCTCAAAAATGCTCAGTGAATTTGGGAGTTTCTCCGAACTGCGTAACCCACCACCAACCCTTGCCTCCAGAGCATGAGATCACAGTTGTGCGCCACCATACTCGACTTTAACGACACTGTACAGCTCTGCAATGTGCTTTCAGGTTGAATTTAGTTCCTGAAGTAGCTGCCAGCACGTGGAGGATGTCGGACATTGTATCGGACAACAAGCGTTGAAACCCGAACACACATGGAAGGGTTACACAGAATTCCCTCGTTATTTGCGAGGGATACGTTCCGGAGGTGATGATATCGGCCTACAAATATCGTACGCACAACATCTGCGGATGCTTCTAAAGCCTCGATAAGATATTTCTCTCTATATATATCTCTTATGTCTTCATCTCATCACATTCCCTCTCACCACTTTACATCATTATTTTATGTCATCAATTTATCTCATCGCTTTATGACATCACTTTATCTCTCATCACATTATCTCATTACTTTATCTAATCTATGCATTGCATCACATTCTCACTCACCACATTCTCTCATCTCTTTATCTCATCACTTTCTCTCGACGCAGTCGTGTAGACTTCCAGATGCGATTCACGGATAGTGAAATATCGGGGATAGCAAGTTCGCGGATAACGAGGGAATACTGAGCACAACCGTGGGCAAAAAAAACTGTGCAGTCGTATAAGTTACAGTTTTTATTTTTTACGACGGCACTCACCGATGATGGACTTGTCAAGGTTGTCCCAGCGAGCAGAGTTGTCACCCAGCCAGTGCCCAGACCACTGTCCGCTGCCAGGGAAGGTGGACCTGGTCACCACGATGCCACGCTTGCCCGTCACATTGTGCAGGGCGCTGGAAAGACGCGAGGAAAAGGAATGTACACAGGCGATCGGGTGGTACGTCTGGCAAAAAAACGTTAGCAACCTGTGGTGTGTGTAGAAAATTATCGCGTCGTTGACGGGTCCCGCGAGATCCGACCATGTCCGTTCAGTGCTTGCTGAGCTGCATTGGCTTCTGGTTGCCCAACGAATACATTATAAGGTCGCACTCATTACATACAGAGTGATTGCCACAAATGAACCCCAATACCTTGGTGATCTCATCAAGGAGCATAAACCATCAACACGCGAACTCTCGTCACCCTCGCAGCAGCAGCTTCTGGCTAACCATTGAACAAAGATAGTCACCATATCGCGCTTTCAAATGAACTTCTGTGGATGTCTGTAACGCTCTTCTTTCCGATACCAGGAAGCCACTGGGAGCTATCCACTTTTAAATTGATATTGTAAACTCATTTCTTTGGAAATGCTTTTGGTGTTCAATTTGCTTTTCTTTGCCCGCATCTCCGATTAGCACGGTTGGCAATGTACGCTGCAAAAGAAGTTCAACATACATACGAACATTCATCGACTGCGGATCCACGTCGCTCCATCTACCCAGGTGGACGTCCTCCTGGGCACATTCCCTCCTTTTCAGTCGCTCGCCTCGACTACCATACCCACCGCACACTCCGATTGGCACGGTTGGCTACGTACGCTGCGAAAGAAGTTCAACATGGCACGTGCAATGCATTGGACCACAGGGCTACTGGGCCAGCTGCTGTGTAGGGAGACTCACTCCAGCGTGGGCTTGGTCTGAGACCAGCCGTAGAGGCTGTGCACGTTGTAGTGCTGGACCTTCGACCCGTCGGGAAGCTCGTGCAGTGCCTCCATGCACATGGTCTTGTGCTGGAGGCCCCAGAAGACGTCCTGTTGGGTTAGATCTGCGCACAGGGGTTGACAATGGCGGCTGCAGGGAGGTCCCGTTGCACAGTGTGCTATAAAGCGCTTCATAGCTCTTCAGATTCCTCCAGGGTAAATAAATATTCTGATTCTGAATTCGATGACGGCAATGCGGACCAATACTAACGATCACGTAAAAATCCCCGCTCCACTTTCACATTTCCGAATGCAAATAAAAATCAAGATTCTCTCCTCGTCTTACGTGCGATGTCTCGTCTGCTTGTACTGACTTTCTGTGCAATATCTTCTGAAATGTATGTTTGATTATTGCTGTACCATCAAACAAAGATGGTCGCCGCATCGCGCGCTTTCAGATGCGCTTCTGCGGCCGTCTGGAACGCGCTTTCTGATATTAGGAAGCCACTGGAGCTATGCACTTTTTAATCTAGATTGAAAACTAATTTCTTAAGAACTGCTTTTAGTCTTTAGTTCGTTGTCTTTTCCCGCACCTCCGATTAGCACGGTTGGCTTTGTACGGTGCGAAATAAGTTTAATATACATACACACGTACAATTCTCCACACATATGGCTGTGTGTGGTCACTTGTTGACTCGACCAGAAAACATAAGGCAGACAAAAAAACAAATACTGTGGTTCCTACCTTGTAGTTGTATACCTATGCTGCAAGTCCAGGGGGCTTGATGTATGACAGTTAGCAAGTGAGGAAAAATACTTTAAAATCTGGGTCAGGTGCTCGATGAGAGTGCTCTACTGGCGTTACTCCTTTGATATTATATTAAAAAAAATTACAAATATCTGTTGTGATACGGGGGAGGAATATCGTGGATCATGTGGGGTTATCGTATTAGCCGTGGGGTTAATCTACTCCTGTTATCCGCAAAAACAATGATGGGTCATTGGATGCCGTTCTGTGTTGACCTTTAGGTAAAGTCGTGGGTAACAGCGGATGATTAGATGAATAGGGCCGTGGGTAAGTGAAGTTCGCCAACAGCACAGGTCTCGCGAATAATAGGCATCGCTGGTAATAGGGTTGCACCCTTGGCATCGTTCTTGATAAACTAAACTAAACTATTAAACTATTTTATTTTTACCAGGTAAAGCCCACTGAGCTATATAACTCGTTCTTTCACAGATGTCCAGTAGGGGCCTGTCAGAATGTTAAAACAATAAAGAATCCAAGTACAACGTTGAGGAAAGGTAAACAAATCACGATAAAGTAAAAAATAACTTTATTTTACCAGGTAAAGGCCACTGAGCATTTTAGCTGATTTTTCAGAAGCGACCTGGCCACAAATGAAAGCTCAACAAAGTGGATTATCATCACGTGGAAATCAAATGCAGACAAATGCTCTAAATTCATGTTTCTAAAGGCGGAGGGAAAAACCGGAGAAACCTGAAGACAAAATCCACGTGACCACGGGGAAAACACGCAAACTCCAAATATACAGCGGGCGTCAGGCGCAGGATCAAACCCGCGACCTTCTTCATACCAGGCGAGGCAGTTAGCATCTCGCCACCGAGGTGCGTGTGTGTGATGCAGGCAGGAGGTGGGGTGGTGGGGTGGTAACTCAAACGCACGGGGCATGTACGGAGGCTCGTTCAAATCCTTATCTTCACATCCCGACGTAGATCCGTGGACAAAGCTCGCCGGTTCGTTCATGTCCTGTGGGCGGGAGGGAGAATGATGAGTGTCAGGTGGAGTGGAGGGTTGCCATCTGTCCTGGTTTTTGTTTTCCAGGATCATTCTCCTTTTGAGGTTAGCAGTTCTGAAAAGTTCGTCCAAGTGTTCCGGGGATATTCTAATAATACACCGCGCATGGCAATGCTTTTTTCATGTAAGTTGCCCCTCTTCCAGTGTTGTGGCATAAGGATGTGTGTAGAGGGTGCTCAATGCCTCAGCAACTCAAATGTCTTAACATCTCATGCAAAATTCTGGCTTAAGTTGTTTTTTTGCCAATGCGACTCACTGATGGCAGCTGTCCCCTGTATGTGGCACAATGTGAATACAGCACTGGCCTGTAAATGCAATGTGTTTTTTTCTTTCTGAATTATTAAATTTGGCAATAACTAATCAAATATGACAAATTCAGACCATGATGTCATATATAACATCACAGAATCTTTGACACCCTCTACGAAGCATATTTTTGGTTCTTACACCCGCGCTATTGACCGGGGTGACCGTTGGAGTTTAAACCGCCATCTTATGTGGTGGGGGAGGGGGGGGGCGCAGTAAAAAAAAAAACGCAAGAATAACGCAGCCCAGTGCCCTTCGCCAGCGCCCCGAGCGAAAAACGTGCTTCAATAATGGGAACGCACGATCCACAATCCGTCGAACTCCATGCTGTCGGCTGGCGTTGTTGGATTCCGGTAGAACTCCTCGATCTCGCGCTGCCACCACCGAGCGGTGCGCTCGCGGAAGAAGTCGGGCATGGCAGCGTACGCCCGGTAGTGCTGCGTGGTGCAATGCGGGGAGGGGGGGGGGGTAGGTAGGGGTACAAAAATCCAAGTCAAGGTCACGAGGTCAAAGCGGCCAATGCTTTTGATGTCACCAGAATCAGAACGTGTTTTTTTTACTTCCTTTAAATATATTTTTTCTGAGTATTTATTTACCCTGGGGGAATAAGATCACAGATGTCCAGTAAGGGGGTGGTTCAGAACGTTACAACAACAAACAATACAAAAACACGGTCGGAGTGCAAAGTATAGGAAAGGTTAAGCAAATCACGAACAAAACATTTACAAACGCAAAAGAAGGCACCAATCTCATGTTTATTGTCCTGAGCCAGTTGTAGAAATTAATTATTCCTATGACAGGGGTGAGTCTATCCGTAGAACAAGCACCTTTGGCTTTGCACAAGGTTGTACTCATTTTGTAGACCCTAAAGCTCCCTGCTTTGGATCTATGTACAGGGACTCCTCTACTTACCAACATTCGCCTTACGAACTTTCAGAGATGTGATCAAACCTGTCCGTATGTTCAGTTGTCTGTTGGGACCAAGAGTCATAAGTTCAACTGCCGTGCAATAGATTACGGTGGTGGCATCTACATCTACAGAATTTGAAGAACCAGTGGAATCTATATCTGCAGAACAAGAAGAAGCAGTGGCATCTACATCTACAGGAGTTTATACAACTTTTAAAGCCATTCCCTGTGTTTAGTGTACATGCCGTAAAACGTGTTTGGAATCGGCAGGAGCAAAGTTGGAATTACGTACAAATAGACTAATGAACAGATTTCTGGAACCTAACTCGTTCGTAAGTAGAGAAGTCCCTATATGATGAATTTATTTCACACCGTAATTATCCAAATGCGCTAATTCGAGTTGTGGATATTGCAAGTCATTGTGCTTTAACCACTGCACCACTCAGCCAAATCAATAGACGAAGGGAAGCCGTGAATAGGAATCAGGGCCCCAATGCTTGTGTGTAACGCACCTCAACTTGATAGTCCCAGTCTTGAGTATCATTCACTTCAACGTGAGGATAATCAGGCCACACCTTCACACAACAATCCATTCAGACACACGCTCCGTGTTCATTTGGGAATTGTTGTTTAATTGCACATTGGCGTTCATACTGTATATACATCAAACACATATTTTGGCAGTCTACTGTGTTGTAAGCATTGCACATTTTTACCTATAGCTTTTGGTTCATCCGAAAAACACTTCAGGATAATTACGTGACTCCGTGCAGACATAGGTTTTGATCAATATGTAAAAAGGTCATCAATAGACAAAGATATTTACACTTTGCAAATATAGGTTAGTGGACAAAAAATGAAAGCAAACTGCTTTAAACATGGGGGGGGGGGGGGTTGGTTGACTGAATGTACGTGAGATTAGGCACATGTGAAAAGGTCAGATTTGTGAACATCCCAAATAATAATAATGACACCACGCCTTTACACCTCCGTGATGCACTTAATGTTGGGTTTAGTTTGTTGTCCTTCCCCCGATTATCACGGTTGGCTATGTACGGTGCGAAATAAGTTATACATACATAGAGCACAACTCCAAGAAACTACGCGGTAAAACATAATGGATTTTAGGATTACCTTTCCAAACATGATTTGTCCATCTGGACGTTTCATATAAACGTCATTTTCCACACCTCGAATGTATGCAGGATATGGCTCAGTCTCATTCGCAGCGATTGCTGGATCCTGGAAAGTACAATAACAATCGTGACGTTTCACCATCAACATTTTTTAGTGCATCTTAAAAAAAGGCACCTTGATTAATGACGCATTGCATGTTTAAATGGCAAACAGGAGCACCAGCTGGTAAATCACCTGATGAAGCTGGTTGTAATCATCAATGTCGTAGTCAAATTGTAAATGTTGTGGGTTTACTCTCGAATACACCGGTGTGCTGAAGTAATAGTGAAATTGGCACCTTGTGTTCATGTGACAACCTTTACCAATTGGTTGTGTCGGATAGCGGCGGGTTAACGACACATTTACATTCACGCGATCTAACCCAATAAAGAAGCCTGTACTATGCATAATATTGGTGGCGAAAGCCTACGTGTTAAACTCCATTTGATCATGGTTACATTACCCCCCCGTGCTCACCAGGATGATGATGATTCGCATGCCCTCGTCGTGCATGTGTCTGATCAGGTTGGGGAAGTTTCCAAACTTTTCCTTGTTTAAGGTGAAGTCCAACTGCCTCACCATGTAGTCGATGTCACCGTACTGAGTGTCCTGTGCGAAGGAAGGGGGCCGAGAGGCGTTGTCAGGAGACCACCGCGTGGACTCAACTCTTCAGTTGGCATTAACCTACATTGCAGTAGACCTGGACTGAGGATAATGCAACTTAATGCATTACCACCATTCTGATTTATGTTGCCGACACAAGGGCATTTGTACCTCACGCTATGAACGTACTATTACAAAGACGATCAAGAGTTGCCTATATGCATTCTGCGTTGAACATCGAAGCAATAGGTGGGGGCATCCTGTCACCTCATGTCTCACTCACACTCACTTTTCCTACTTAATAATATTGACAATTTCCCAAAGATAAAAGATGTTCATGATAATAAGACTCCCAAAAACAAATACCCCCGTAAAGCCTTAACAGACTGTTGGGGCAAGTGCTGTTAGCGATCACCTATGAAGGCTAGCACAGTGTTAATGTTTACACATCACACCAGTTACTCATTTGACGCTGAGTCGACCTAGAGGAGGTCCAGGACCAATTCAGAAAATCGTCACTGGTGTTGGCCATGAGCGGGAATAGAAGTCTGGTTGCCGGGTTCGCAGCGCAGCATGCTAACCGTTGCACTACCGCTCCCCACTAATAATTATAATAAGACTCCCGGGATACACTTAACACAGGCAAATGTTTTCCAGTGTAAAGATGACGTGTAGGTTTACGTGGATAATATATGCCAGAGCAGCAGATCCCGTGTACAAATTGCGTAGGCGACGTCTGTCACTCACATAGGGGACGCCTGCTGCCTTCATGTCATTGTAGAGGTTCAGGATTTCCGTGTCGTTGGCGTAGCCGTAGCGGCACAGCTGGAAGCCCAGAGACCAGTAAGGAGGCATGGCCGGGCGTCCGATGAGCTGCAGAGGAGGCACGAAACGAAGCGATAAGAACACCGCTAACGGTTATCGCTAATGATGTTGGTGAACGGTGGCAGTGTAGAAAATAATGCCCCAAAAGTATTTTCTATAAAAGGTAAAAAAAACGTAGCCTTGAATCTGTTTGCCCTCGACAGTGTTGGCAGAAGGGCCTCCGCTAGAGGGAGCATTAGAGGGTAATTTGGTCTGCCCTTCCGTACAGGCCAGAGGTGCTTGAAGAGGTGGGAATACCCACAATTTATCCCAGTATACGGCACCTGCCGATCAACTCAAGTGACTTCAACCCATTCGTACAATTGGCTGGAAAGAGGTGGGGGGATAGTGCAGAAACTTGCATTTTTGTAAAACCGCTGCATCAGAATATTGCATTGAACCAGTGATCTCTGAATCACAAGTCCGGTGTGCTCACCAATACACCATGACATTTCCCTTTACTTTCGATATCGACGAAATAAAGTTACTGGGAATCCGGTGTCTATTCCACCGTTATAGGCGGGGCTTTTGGGAACGAGGGGAGGGGCATTGGGGGATCGATCAGAGAGGGGGGCGGGCACAGATGCTCTAAAGGCAGAGCTGTGGATGACCATGCTTGTAGGGGCCTTTGGGGGACTGAACGGAGAGGCAGTGGGGTGTAGATTAAGTGGACAGGATTATCGCGGTTGGCTATGTATGGTGCAAAAGAAGTTCAACATACATACATACGTAGAATGGGACTAGGAGGAGTTTGGAGGATGTGTGAATTGGTCCACGCAAAAAAGAAAAACCCGGGCTTTTTGTGTTATTCGGTGCAATTGTAAACAACAGCCATATCAGACATGAGCACGTCTAAACGGCATACTCATTGGGTTGACCGCAGCTCAAAGACTCAGTCCCTTACAAGGCGTGTGGTGAAGTTAGGAAATGTCCCATGTGCTGCTCGGCACTTGGAGGCCTGGAGACCAGAATCGGTGATTTTGTCGACAATGTGTTCGGGGAGGCAATTCCATATCCAGACAGCAGAGTGAAGGGAGCTTCTGTCCAGGGAGCAATTTTCTGGCAACTGGGGGGGGGGGAAGTGCTGCCCCTCATTATGACACCAAGCTGTAGTAAGGCATTCAACAGTTTGGCGTAAACACGTTGGCAATTTGCCAACCGAGCCTCTGTCCTTTTCTCTACACTTGCACCAATGTGTGCAGTAGTATCATGTAAAAAAATACCGCCCATGTAGGCTGCCCTTCGAAACTGATGGGAACGTGAGGTTCCAGGTCTGGGCTGTGCGGTGGATGGGGCAGCAGAGTTTAGCTGCCACTGTTCAATGGTTAAGCCAGTGGCTTTTGTTCGATGGTTAGCCAGCGGCCATTGGCTAACCATCGAACAAAGACGGTCACCGCATCGCACATTTTCAGAAGCGCTTCTACGACTGTCTGGAACGCTCTTTTTTTTCCAATATTAGGAAGCTACTGGACTTCAAAATCTAGATTCAAAACTAATTTCTTAAAAAAAAAGTGTTTTTTTGTGTTTAGTTTGTTGTCCTTTACTTTTCCCCGCACCTCCGATCAGCACGGTTGGCTATGTACGGTGCGAAAGAAGTTCAACATACATACATGCTGTTCTCAGGCTCAGATGAGTGTATCACTCTGCGTATATCAATATGAATATGCCAGGACTTACACTCGTGTACTGCAGGGTGTATATCAGTGTGAACACAACAGTACTTATTCTAGTGTACTGCAGGGTGAATATCCGTATGACATATACCTGTACTTATGGCAGTGCACTGCAGGGTGTATATCAAGTATGAAATATACGAGTACTTACTGCAGTGTACTGCTGCGTGACCTCCTCTGGGCTGGGTCCGAGTGTGAAGTAGAAGTCAAGGATGCCCCCCGTGGTGCGGTAAGTCACCGCTGGGTTGGGCTGCAGAACAATGTCTGCTCGCACAGCAAGGAGTGACATTAAGGCTGTGCGTCATAAACGCAACTCACGGTGCCCATGACCACACACATATACAAATGCAAAGTTTCTCCGTATAGCATTGATAGAATGTTGAGGCAAGTGTGTTTAGCAAATACATTATGAAGGCCAGCGCTGCGTATGAAGGGGTGGTGTGGTAGATGCCGTGGCAGGCTGCTTTGTCTCTCCGTTGCTGACGTTTACACGCCATGCAAGGTCCTCATTTAAGGCTGAGTGTACTTTGGAAAGGCCCAGGACTGGCCCAGATAATTGTCACTGACGTTAGCCATGGCCAGGAATCGACCTCCTGTCACCAGGTTCGAAGGAGTGCAGTGCGCAGAGACAGGCAATGGCATCAACAACAACAGCCGCCGTTCGCTGCCGAATGGCCGGCAGCGGCGGGGGTGTGGTCACGTCGCCATGCCACCGCCAGGTTCGGTTCACTTTGAGGCCACGTGAATTGCGTCGATGGGCTTCATTGCCACGCTAGGTGCACTTTGAGGCCATTTGAAGTGCATTGCGCGGCGCGTTCAGATGCGCCGCTGCGGCCGTCTTGTATGCTCTTTCTTTCCGATATTAGGAACCCATTGAGAGCTCTGCCTTTTAAATAATCTCGATTGACATTCATTTCTTTAGAACTGCTTTTTGCATTTAGTTTGTTGTCCTTCCCCCGCAGGTCCGATTCGCGTGGTTGGCTGCGTACGGTGCGAAAGAAGTTCTGCACACATACAAGTGTCGAAGGCTAGCAAAACACTTTTACGATGACGACAATGACAACACACGGTTCTCACCCATAGCATTGCTGTTGAATAGCAGAACGCTGTGCGCATTGGCCCCATCCTCCACCGACATGTAGTAGGGATGCACCCCGTATGCGTTTGCTCTGTACTGTGGGTACACAGCACACACACAGAATCGGAATATTAATTTAAAACTGGAGGAATCTGATGAAATATGACGCTCTTTTTCTCTAGATGTCCTGTATGGGCCGGGCCAGCGAGTAATGACAGCAAACACTACAAAAGGCAAAAGGAGTGCAAAAGAGAAACAATGGTAAGCAACTTCTTTGGTTCTTTCGGTAAAGTCACGTAGAATGAGAATAAAATAATAAATTGATAAAATAAAATAACACAATAATATTCTCACGACGTTTCAGCCACAACACAAGCGGCCTTCATCAGGTGAAGTCCTACCAGACAGTCTCGTCCCTTCACCTGATGAAGGCCGCTTGTGTTGTGGCCGATACGTCGTGAGAATATTATTGTGTTATTTTATTTTATCAATTTATTATTTTATTCTCATTCTACGTGACTTTACCGAAAGAACCAAAGAAGATGAATCATTGCAGTCACGAAAGCTTTAAATTGAAATGGTAAGCAAGTCACTAAATTGAAATAAATAATAAATATATGTATTATAGTTTATCACGTAGGCTTTCACGACCAATATTATCCATGAGAGGTTTTTTTTGGGTTAGCTTGTGTAAATATAAATCTGTCGTTAAACCCTGCCAATACCCAACACAGCTATTTACAGGTTTGTAAATGTTGTGGGTTTACTTTTCAACGCACCGGCGTGCTGAAGTAGTAACGAATTGGCAAGTTTTGTTTACGTGACAAACCGTACTAATTGGCTGTGTCGGGTGGTGGCGGGTTCAATGACACATTTATATTTACAAGCTTGGATGAAGGCAGCAGAAAACAACAACAAAAGCAGTCCCAGGCCACCACCAAGCTAATAACTCCCAGTAGTCCCTCGATAACATTAACATTGAACTATTTATGCCACAGTCTTGTTATAAAGTGCACAGTAGGGCCAAACATGAGTGACATTTACTACCGCATCGAGAGCAAGACAGCCGGATGGGTGGCACTGAGTCTTTCAAGCCATTCGTGGTGAGACCGGTTTTGGGTGCATTGCGATCTACGGGTGAAATGCGCCTGACAAATTAAAATTATTATTGCTATTGAAGAGTTCAAATGCAGGTTTATGGGGCTGAAAACAATGAGTGCCGCTTTTTTTGGGTGGCCAACAGTGGTCATAATATGGTGTGCATTGGCAGTGTAATAGTCACGTGGAATTGCCACCACTTACTTGGGGGGGGGGGGGGTCACAATTGAAGATGAATACCCATTTAAACTAAAGTACCTATTTAAACTAAACATATTCTTAGTTTTTTCGGTAAAGTCACGTTGAAGAGAAACAACAAAATATATATAAAACAATAAAAAAAATTCTCACGACGTTTCGACCATAACTCAAACGGTCATCATCAGGTGTGTTATTTTGTTGTTTCTCTTCAACGTGACTTTACCGAAAAAAACTAAGAATATGAATTACTGCAGTCACGAAAGCTTTAAATCAAAATTTAAACTAAACATGTTTTCAATTGTTGTGGGTTTTGCTCTCCAACACACCGGTGTGCTGAACTAGTAACGAACTGGCACGTTCTGTTTACGTGACAAACAAGTTTAATGGCACATTCATATCTACGCAATCTAACCCCAAAAAAACTATTTTATGGATAATATTGGTCGCGAAAGCCTACGTGTTAAACTAAACTCAGACTATTAATACCTATGGGACATTTTTTGCCAGTATCAAACATGATTAAAAATAAAAAAAATATGTTTTACCCATTCTGGCAATAATACAGGTGTTAAGTTGTTCAAACACCAAATATATACCTTTTATAACTATTCAACTAAATTATTTTGTATTTTACCAGGTTAAGGCCCACTGAGCTATATAACTCTTTTTCAGAAGAAACATGGCTATCACAAATAACAGCTCAACGCAGTGGCTTATTTGAACCAGGAAGCCATTTTGAAACTTAACCCTCCCATGCGTGATAAATTAAAAGCAAAACCAATTGTACATCTTGTTTTTAGTTGAATGTGATTCAGACCAAAGAGCCCCACAAACATGTTGCATTTTCTTTTATACCAACGACACTTCCCGTCTACCGGCTGCCACCATGTTGAACGCCAAGCTCTGCTTTACCAAACATTTCTGCCATGCTGGGAATCATATTGTCCATCGTCAGTTGCCACGATGAATAGGTGACGTCCTATGGAGAGGATGACTGCATGTACTTAACATTTCTGAGGATGTGCATTTGTACGTATGGTATGTTGAACTTCGTTCGCACCGTACGTAGCCAACCGTGCTAATCGGAGAACGTGCACGGCGTGGCTAAAATGTGAACATACCACGGTTGCCACCGTGGTGAGATGTTAACTACCTCGTCTGGTATGCAGGAGGACATAGGTTCGATCCCGACCCTGACGCCTGTATATGGAGTTTGCATCTCTCTCTCCCCGTGGTTGCCTGGATATTTCTCGAGGTGCTCCAGTTTTTCCCTCCAAATCTAGAAAACCTGCATTTAATATATTTGGTTGCTATAAATTTCCATGTGATAAGCCACTTAATTGAGCTATCATTTGTAGGCAGGTCACTTCTGGAAAAGAGCTTTACAGCTCAGTGGGCCTTACAGTATTACCCGATTTAAAATAATTGGAATAAAAAAAGTAGTTTTTATCACAGCAGTCTACCGCAGTACACGCGATTGTCTGAGACTTTCCTGAGCTGTGACTGTCCTGAGTGGCACGCGGACACCGCCGTTAGAGAGCGCTGCAACGGGGATGAGGTTGTTACCCCGGGAGGCTGATCCTTCGAGAAGTATCCCCACGTCTCCCAATTGAGCTTGAGCTTGAACGTGTCGTGCTCAGTCTCGCCAAAGCCATAGATGTTCTCGCTCGGCAGCAGCGCGGACATCTGGATGAAGCGGTCCGTGAAGGTGAAGCCGGGTGCCTGCGAGTTCCAGCTGAGGACGAGAAAATAGAGGGCCCAGTGGGTGGCCTCGATGGGACACCCCCGTTGCCTCCAACGGGAACCTCGGAGCCAAGCGGGGCCACCCCACCCCAGAGTCAATGCCTGGCTTTGAAGACCCCCCCCCCCTTTGGGCAGGCATCTCCAATGCTGTACGTCCCCCCTACTCCTTTCCCCATCGGCACATCTGTCGCTGGATGTTTGCTTTGCGGGGTCGGAGGCAAAATCGTGATATGACGGCCTCACGAGACATCCGGATTATGTACAGCATAGTGCTTTAAATAGGGAAGGATGGAGAGTAATTGATTGACAAAATAAACTAACTTTTCAAAATATGTAATTAATTAAAAGCATTTTATATTAAATAACAAAGAAAGCATTTACAATTATTTATTTAGAAATGGAATGCACTGCACACCAATATTTGATCAATTAAAAAATTGTATGAACTGAAATTATAAAATAATGTACTAACTGAGCCGGTGACTAAGTTATCCAAGGTTGAAAGATTGCAACTGTCTCGGCAGTGGTCTGCTGGTGATGATATTACGTCCTCACTGTTTCACAGTCATTTTATAAATAGACTAATCAAATTAAATGAATGTTATATATCGAGAGGGATGATATACTAAAACAAGAGCATAACCTCATCGCGAGCAGACCACGTGACAGATCACGTGACAGACTGATGCATGTGGATTGTCTGAACAATGCCAGGCCCTTTGTACAGCTTAATCAGCACGTGAACAGTGTTCCGACCTCTGCATTCTTACTTTTTTATGCTTTTATTTACTTTCAGGAAGCCTTTGTGGAATAACCCAAATTCTGATTTATTCAAGTCTGGATCTGTCACGAATTTAGGAGTCGAATGAACTGACACTGAATGTATATATGCATACGAAGTGTGCACGGCACATGTATGTATGTATGCGTGCAATTGTGTGTTTGTTGTGCGCACTGTGATGGCAATACCCACATGACTTTCCCTGTGCTTTTGCGGATGATGCGGATTCCGAATGGGCTGTCCACGAACTCCACATGGTACAAACGGGAAGCCGCGGTGCCACCGGGGACGTTCGGTTTGTTGAGTGGGACCGGAACTTCATACCGAGCTTTTGCTGGATCGTAAATCTGGGGATAAAAATCACGATTTGCGATATTTAATCCCTCTTACGTGGCTCTGAGTTGTACAGCTTGCTGTTAACGGTGACGAGATGTTAACTGTCTCGGCTGGTATACAGGAAGTCGTGGCTTCACAACTCTGACGCCTGCTGTATATTTGGAGTTTGCGTGTTCTCTCTGTCCCTGTGATCGCATGGATTTTTATTCGGGTCCTCCAGTTTTCCTCTCCACATTTAGAATCAACGCGTGTTCAGAGTATTTGGATATATACATTTTCACGTGATAAGCCACTTCGATGAGCTATCAATTGTGGCCAGGTCACTTCTGAAAAAGAGCTACATAGCTCAGTGGGCCTTACCTGGTAACAAAAAAAAATGTCATAGTTTAATTTATAATTTGGCATGATGTCCAATGTTTCGCTCCATGCGCTGGGATCTTCAGCTTCCCAGCAAATAACATGTGGCATCCAAGGGAATGGATTCCAAAATTCCATACAACAAATGATAGTACGTGAATATAATAGCTTTAGATATGCTGATGCGCATAAGCTCCCAGCACCGCCGACTGTGCGGAGAGTGTTCGTGTCGGCGCTTAGTGGTGAATATTTTTTCTCTATTTACCTTGGGAGGTCTTTCGTCTTACCCCGATCTCCAGCTTTAGTCGAATCCAGCTTTGAGAGGTTTTTATGCAAGTAATATTCAGCCAGGTGGCTCAGCGGTAGAGCAAGCAGCTTGCAATTGTACGGTTGTAGATTCAAATCCTAGTTATGGGTTGATTTAGCCCATCATCCCTCCCAGGGTAGATGCAATGCATACCACCTTGTGAGGAGGTCAACAGTGGTTATACCATGTGTGCGTCCAGTGCTCGCCAAGCTGCATTGGCTTCCGGTTGCTGAATGAATACACTTAAAGGTCGCGCTCATTACACACAAAGTGCTTGCCACAAATGCACCACAACACCTTGCTGTTCTCGTCAAGGAGCATGAGCCATCATCACGCAAACTCCGGTTATCCTCACAACAGTGGCTTTTGGCTAGCAATCGAACAAAGACAGTCACTGCATCGCACGCGTTCAGATGTGCTTCTGCGGCCGTCTGGAACGCTCTTCATTCCAATATTAGGAAGCCACTGGAGCTCCACACTTTTAAATCTAAATTGAGAACTAATTTCTTTGGAACTGATTTTTGTCGTTACGTTGTATCTCCTTCCCCCAGGCACCTCCGATTAGCATGGTTGGCTACATACGGTGCGAAAGAAGTTCTACATACATACATACCGTCAAAGGAATGTGAAACTTCAACCTCAGTGCTCATTTCTGACATTTTCGTTACTTACTTACCTTGACTCTGAGGCTGTGGTTGCTGAAGAATTCGACGTCCACGTTGAGAGTCTCCACCGTGGGGTTGCTGCCGCTGTGGTAACGGCGTGGGTAGCCCGCGTTGCGCTTGATGACCACGCGCTGGCCCATGGCGGTGGGGGTGGGGGCGCCCGTCGCCTCGTAGCCGTAGCCGCCATCGTAGATGCACCACGGCATGCCAGGTGTCGTGTGCTCCTGGCACGCGGGGCAACGGAAACACGCGACAAGTCGATCGTGCTTCACCGCGCGCGTCTTGATTGTGGTCGTGATGACGATGCTTGGCTTGGTAGAGCTGCCCTCGTTCACAACCGAAGCATTCTCGGCGTACTTTGCACGTGATCAGCAACTTACATCATATCTCATCTCAACACATTTGAACGGTACATGGTGTGGCACAAGAAAGACCGTCAATGCATCACGCGTTCTCAGATGCACTTTCTGTGGCCATATGGAACGCTCTTCCATCCGATATTAGGAAGTCACTGGAGCTATGCACTTTTAAATAATCTGGATTGAAAACTAATTTCTTTTCAACCGCTTTTCATGCTTAGTTTGTTGTCCTTTCCCCGCACCTCCAATTAGCATGGTTGGCTACGTACGACGTGAAATATATTCAACATACATACAAAAGGTTAACGCAGCACCTGGCCTGTGTAATCGCAATTGAGTAATTTTTGGGTAATTGTCAAGTTTGTAAAGTTTTGATGATGATGCCGGCATACAATGGCCAACTTGTTTCCAATGGTCTCAGGGGATCTTTACCTATCCACTGTGAAGCAGACGGAACGTAGTTTAATGGTTAATACAACACAGACCACAGTACTAACCAGGATGGCCTGCAGGATTCGAACTGCGAACCTCTGCAACAAGCGGGGAACGCGCCACGTTACTGCCCCATTAACGGTGAGGGTTCGTCGTACAGGGAACAAGGGTTAACAGGGGTTAACAGCTTACAATTGCGGTTTGGAAATTCCCTACGATTTTCAATGAAAATCATCTTGATGAGCAAAGACATTCATGGGCACGGCAACATCGCTCTGACAAAGTAAGGTTTGTCACGTAAACAGAACATGCAAATTCGTTAATAATACAGCACACCGGTGTGTTGGAAAGCAAAGCCACAACATTTACAATATGAGTACGATGTTTCACCAGTAATTACAACAAATATGTCTATCGCCTGATGAAGCTAGTTGTAATTACTCAGATTGTAAATGTTGTGTCTTTGCTCTTTAACACACTGGTTAGTGCTGTACTTGTATAGTGGCATAGCGCTGGCTGCTGGCTAAAAAGGGGAACTGCGGTGTACGGAAATACGGCAGCAGGCCATGATATATACGAGAGGGGGACATCTGGGGGAAAGGTCACAGAAGGGGCCCATCGATAAGCCCCGGGAGCCTGCTAGTAGGTTCCAGAAGGGGGGCGTGGCCGGGGCGGAGCGAGGCCACGCTGGGAGTACAAGAGGGGCCCCTGTGCGGGACCTCGTGGTTGTTCTTGGAAGTGGGATCCCCGTCGTGCTGCTCAAATCCATCATCGTCACCATCTCATCATCATCGTCACCATCTCCTCGTCGTTGTCTCCGTCTTCACCATCCCGGGGCGCTGTTAGTCAGACAGCCTCCCAACTGTTCTAACCAAGTAGTGCTGCCGACAATAGACGGTCTTAATAATAATAGTGTGCACCCACGTAGGGTGTGAATTATCCCGATGGTGCTTGTTAAATAAAGAAGTGCCTCTAAGTCATACTGTCTCCGAGTTGAGTGACTGCACTCGTAACGAATTGGCATGTTCTGTTTACGTGACAAACCTTACTAATTGGCTGTGTTACGCGATTTAACCCAAAAAACCTGTATCATGTGTAATGGCATTACCCCTTAACAGAACTTCCCTTTGACATCATTCCCAGTAGTATGAGCACATGGCAAAAGGAGCGGGCGTAGTGTGGCGACCGCAACGGGACACACGCATGACCGCACCTTCCATATGCAACCACGGCTTTCGCAGGTCGACTTTGAGGCATTGGCCTCCGGGTAGCAGTCAAAGAGCTCCTCCTCGGTGTACTCCCACTGCACCTCGTACCCTGAGCCCAGGCGCATGCCCAGGCCTCGGATGTGGCCCACCTGACAAAAGACCGATGGGCAGCATCTGTTAATGGTCCCTCTTTCAAAACCACACCACTTGCGCTCTTCTCAGTGATGCAAAATTATGAGTACGATGTCATGCATTGTATAGTTTGGTGTTCAACCAGGACCAATTTCGAACAAAAAATGCCTTTGAAATGCTGGGCAGTTCACCAGACTTGGCTTAAGCAAGGCTGACAGTTCACGTGAGAATGAAATTCAAAACGGGGTCTACTGTTTGCTTGCATTGAATCAATGCTGTTAAAAAAAAGTGTAGCCAATGGGATGTGTGTAAAAAACACGTGGAGCCGATCGGACAAATTATGGGAAGGAAGCATCTTGTCTGCTAATGTATTTGATTCCCAAAATAATAGGATATAAATTGAGTGGATGCTCCCGTGGCGTAACGATTAGAACACTCTAACTTACAATGCAGACGTCACTGGTTTCATCTCCCAGTACGGCAGTTGAAACAATGGGCGAGTTCCTTAACTCCGCCCCCTCGCCTCGGTCCACCCAGCGTCACGAATGGGTTCACAAGTTCATTGGTCGGCAGGACGCACGTGGTGGAGTAAAGTGTGGGTACCCCCCAACCTCTTCCAAAAAGTCTGGCCAGCATGGACCCTGAGGTCCAAAAAAACACCCTCTAGAGTCTAGAAGGGTCTCTCTAGAGCTCGTTCAAGTGGAGGACCCCTTCTGCCAGCATTGGTGTGAGCAAGCAATTGCAGGGCTGCGCCTTTTTATTTTTTTCATAAGCATCATCGTTGCAGCCCTCTGCCTGCACAGTGCCTGGCGCTGCAATGACAAAACGCTGCTCCTCACCCTGTTGAATTTGTCGAAAGAGACCTGGTTGGTCGGAATGATCACTTCTCCTCCCTCTGAGCTGATGACTTTGGCACTCCCGATTGGAGACCTGAGGCCCAGCAGTCTCAGCTCATCAATGTTGATCCCGTCCGGGTCCGTGTACCCTCCGGCCATGGTGACCCGTAGTAGATTCTGTAAATCGAGTTCGTGGGTGAAGACCTCAGGACAACCCTGCAGAGTGACTTAGCATAAAAGGGGAGGGACTGGGGGGGCATCCAGAAAACTCAAGGGGGGGGGGGGACATGACGACAGTCAATGTTAAACTAACTGTCCACAAATGTTAAACGCGAAACGGAATAATTATATCATCTGCTCTTGTTTATCATACACTCTGCTGTAGTTGAGCTCCACGGTGGCAAGATGTTAACTACCTCGCCTTGTATGCAGGAGGTTGTGGGTTCGATCCCGACCCTGACGCCTTCTCTATATTTACAGTTTGCGTGTGTCTCTCCCTGTGGTCGCGTGGATTTTTCTCCGATTTAGAATCATTCATCTAGACTATTTGGCTGCTTAATAAATTTCCACGTGATAAGCCACTTTATTGGACGATCATTTGTGGCCAGGTCGCTTCTGAAAAAGAGCTGTATAGCTCAGAGTGTGCCTTCCTTGGTAAAATTAAACATATTTTTTTTAAAATAGTTTTCACTCAGATCCTAATAAGAATGTGCCATTAGACACAGGCGCACTTCTTACTGCTTCTCGACCAATCTGTGGTCTTCATCCTTCTTAACTGATGCAATGCACATCCACTGCACAGACACTGGTGAGGAAGATGCCTCTTCCATGTTGACAAAGGAACCGTGAAATCACGGCACTTGAGTACAATTTCATTTCATTTTTAAAAATATAATCTGACGATTCCGAGTCTGTAGCTTGGTTGATTTTTAGTTGCACTAGAAAACAGTTTAAAATTATATTGTTAACGTACAAGCAGTGAACCATCTTGCCCCAGCCTACATCATTGACACACTGCACCCATGTCCCCTCAAGATCCCTAACATCTGGGGATGCAGATCTTCTCTGCATTGCCAGGTTGAAACTTCAGTTTGTGGGTGACCGAGATTTCTCCCAGTGTATTTACATGCTTCCGCTTGTTAAACTTTTAGTTAATTTAGCAAATTGATTCTTAAAATATATTTAGAATATCATTATTTTCATGCTGAGTGTCTGTTGCTGCTGTGTCCTGTAGAGATCCTTGATGAAAAGCGCTACATGAATGGAATTATTAGAATTTTATTAATCTCAAACTGGAGGGCCGAGCCCGGGCTGGAGAGGCACTCCTCGACGTTACGACGCTGCCTCGAGTTCCCACAGGGATCTTGAAACATCGGCTCCTCTTCTTCCGAGAGGCAGGGACACGGACACATGCCTGTGTGTGTGTGTGGCACACCCATACTCACGTCAGTGCACTCGAACGTGTAGTAGAGGTATTTGTTTTTCTGGAACGAGTCTGTAGGCGAGGAATAGCGGCAGATATCATTATGTGCGCATGCACGCTGAACTTCGTACGCACCGTTACGTAGCCAACCGTGCTAATCGGAGGTGTGGGGGGGGGGTGGAAGGACAACAAAAGTATTGCTTCCCCGGAGCCTCTCCAGGTTTGAACGAGACACTCTCTCCGCTTGCAAGCACGTGTAGTGTGTCTCCCAACGTAGCCCCACGTGTGTGCAACTGTGATGTTTACGTTATAGGGCCTGGGTGGCTGCGTGGTCTCCCCGATAAAAGGCAAAATACGTTTCCGACGTATTCATTACATTGCAACAGACGCAATGCACATCCACTGAACAGGCAGTGCTGAGGAAGATGTCTCTTCCATGTTGAAGGAGAAACCATGAACTCACGACACTTGAGCATTGAGTTTAGTCACAAGTGGCTTGTCAGATTCAAACCCAGGATCGCTCCGAATTAGAATCAAAATATGCATTGATACTGGAGGAATACAATGATATATTAAGATCTTTTTCACAGATGTCCAATACAAAAATATAATAGGAGTGCAAAATATAGGAAAGATGGGAAACTCACCAAAAAAGACAAAATAAAACTGAACTTTTTTTAAATTTTGTAAAGCCTACTGAGCTATTCGCTTATTTCTCAGAAGCAACCTGGCCAAAAATAATAGCTCAACGTAGTGGTTTATCATTGGAACATTTATAGCATCAAATTAATCTAAATAATCCAAATGCATGTTTCTAAATGTAGAGGGAAAAAACAGGGCAGACACACGCAAATTCCAAGCCCTTTGACTTCTGTTTGTTTACCTAGCAATGACGAACCAGTGCTTCCACGTCTATTTATTTCCTATCAAAAACCGTGACCTGCTCCGTAGCCAATGGCAGCACATAAGGTGAGTGTTCACGTAGAGGACGCTTGTCACAATACTGAGCGGCAGAGGACACCGGCCTCCACAGGGGTTGCCCGCGACCCTACGTACGCCCCGAAATGACTGCAGTAAGGACGCGTGTGGCGTGTTAACCCTATGATTGCTGTATTTTATTTGTTACTTTTTTTTTACTTTTTACCAGGAAAGGCCCATTGAGTTATTAGCTTCTTTTTCAGAAGCGACCTGGCCACAAATGATAGGTCAATGAAGTGGCTTATCGTATAGAAATGTAAAGTAGCCAAACACTACAAAAGCATGTTGATTCTAAATGTGGAGGGAAAAATCCACATGCCCAGGGGTAGAACACGCAAACTCAAAATATACAGCATGCATCGTCAGGGTCGGGATCAAACCCACAACCTCCTGCATACCTGGCGAGGGAGTCAACATCTCCTAGCCACTGTGGCGCCCTCCACTGCCCCTCCTGTGAAGGTTTACTGGCCTGGTTGGGTAGTTGGAGATTGTGGTCTGAGATGTGTAGTCCTAATGGACTAATTTATTTGCTGTGATAACCTTTTTTTGTCGTTTGTGCTTTCTGTTTTGATACCATTTCTTAATTTGTTTATGCATTTTAGATTGTTCTTGGTAGTAGTAGGGTCCTAATTTGCTTGGCGTGTATGTATGTGCATGTGTTGGGCTTCTTTCGCGCTGTGCGTGGCTAACCTCGTATTTGGGTTTTGAATGAATGTACATCGTTGTGGGATGCTGTTGGTATGTATGACGTAATATAAAATGAAATTATAATTATTATCCATCCTGTCCACTGCAGTGAGTTGCTATGAATTATATGGTAATGGTGGTAATTTTGCAAAAGCGCAAATTGCTTTCTCAAGGAAAATTCTGTTGGTGGAAGGACACTCAGAAGAGGAAGCTCAACAAGTGAGTACCTGCAGAGGGTATTTGGCCTCCTATTCCATGGCCTGGCAGGCACTTTACCCTCCACCTCACATGACCTGCTGATCAAATGACCATGGTGAACCCGTTTATACTCCCAGCTGGTCAGAGTTTGGGGGGGCGATTTAAGAAACGTGCACCATTGTTTCAACTGCTGGTGCCGGTAGATCTAACCTCCAACCTCTGGGTCGCAGGTTCAGTGTACCAACTGGTTTGCTGCGGCAGCATCCCTTGGTTTATATGACTGCTGTGAAATTATATACGAAATCACGTGAGACAACATGTGCTGTTTAAACATGGCCGCATTTTGTCATCACTCACCCCTGGTCTCCCCGTCATCCCAGAAGAGGTTTCCTTGAGCCTTAAAGTCCGCATCCATCGCAATAATGAGCCCCATGGGGTTTTTCCGGCTGGTAGAGAAGAACGCACAGCAATTGGGTCACTCATTCCTCTGCAGTGATAAAAAATAATTTCAACTTATCGGCCGAATTAGTGCGTGTTCACATGTGGGAGGAAACCGGAACAACACCTGGAGGAAATGCAGACCTGCGAGGGGGAAACACTGTATCCCGTACAGATGGAACAGGTGCAGTCCACATTTGAATGCATTATAATTATTATTTTACTGTCAAGGCCCACTGAGCTGTAGAGCTGTTTTTCAGAAGCGACCTGGCCACTTCGTTAATTGCTCAACGAAGTGGCTTATCACGTGGACATTTATAGCAGCCAAGTACTCTAAACGAATGTCGATTCGACATGTGGAGGGAAAAACCGTAGGACGCGGATAAAAATCCACACGACCACGGGGAGAAAATGCAAACTCCAAACATACAGGCGTGAGGGTTTGGATCGAACCCACGGCCTCCTGCGTACCAGGCGATGGAGTTAACATCTCACCACCGTGGCCATGTCATCCTACAACCACTAACCATACTTATTTTGCATCAGGGAATAAGCTAGGAGCATTTTGCAAAGACGTCGAGCTGCAAAATCAAAGGGTGCCAAGTCAACACACACATCACACGTCCTCTCCCTGCCCTGTGACGAGATGCTGAGATCAAAGTTGAATTTGCCAGGGCGGCTGAAGTTTGCTGACGCACCTGAGGTCAGTGCGCGTGGCTGGCTGCTGGGTCGCCAGGATGTGGCCTCCGCGCACGAGCAGTGAGATCTTGTCATCGGGGATGCTGAACGTGTACTGCTGCCTGTTTTTGGAAACCAATTTACCCTAGCAACGCAGACCAAAGCACAAATGCAGGCGCACACGCACAAATACATTCATGAGCACAGCAACGCGTGTTTGAGGTACAGGTATGTAAGGTAAAACATATTCAGATTTGTTTAAAGGTAACTTCAGATGTGTTTTTTCTTCGTATTTCTGGATCGTTTACGTGAAGTGTTGATTTCACATGTCTTCATGTGACGAAATTGATGCTATCCGATGTCACATGACACCACTTTTGGTGGGAAAAAGAACGCAAATAGCGTAAGACAAGTGACATCATCCCCTGTGAAGTCGTACATTCAGATCAATTGGGAACACCTGCCTGGTTTGAAAGCTGCCTGCTTTTATGATACGTGTTCAAATTTAAATGCGTACATTTTGCTCAGAAATAAACCGGCAGCATGCGAGCAATGAAGCTAAACGTGAATAAAGCTACCCCTTCTGCAAAACCCGTGCTATTGTGATGTGGGTAAAACATGCATCTCGTTCACTCACCGTTTCGTAGTCGTACCACTGCCCATCGGGAATGTAGCCTTGAACTTCAGTTGTGCCCTTAAAGGGAGAAGTGGGAAAGAGGAGGAGCGAGTTGCAGACCTTGAGGTTAAATCCGACTTTAGGAGGGGCACATTAGGACTGGAGCTCGGAAGATAATGGTCGGCATAATGCCTTCCTTCTCATTTGGCTGCCCGTGTCGCCAAATTGAAGTGGAAATTGCCTCCCTCTAGCTCTGCCCCAGTGCAAAGGTGCAACGATGATTCAACCGATATGTCCGTGTGAGATTTCACGAGTAATTTATGCGGTTTCATAGGATATGGAAGTTCTAACGGGTGTGTGTGTGTGTGCACCAATTTATGTTTGATACTGGTGATGATAAACCTCTATACAGGGATATCTCTGTGAGATTGAGTCGGTCACCTCGGAATGCAATTCCAGTGTGCTAACCATTACGCCACTGTTAGAGCGTCGTATCTTATTATACATTTCACATACAATGCATTGGTCGATAAAAATAATGAAAGTGAAGGTATACTTTTAGCCCCGAGTTTCCAAACTGCTTCCAATGCAGTTCATGGCTATTTGACCGTCAGATGTTCCCTTATTGGACACAAACAGGTGAGAGCCACTACATCCTCGGGGCAGAGTAGAGGTTGATTTTAACGTCTCATCGCGAGGTGGCATCTCTTACACCGCAGTCCCCTCCAGCCACTGCACGTCATCGACACACGAGCCCAGGGCACCGGGCAACTCCTACCGCGTGTGTCTGGCGCCACTAAGTTATCAACTCCGGCTCAGTCTATGTTGGCCCAGAGGCCAACAAGAAGAGATTAAAAAAAGGTTAATGCTCCGCAGATCATTAGTTTTCTAGAGCGAGCACTCAGCCGTTGAGAAAGGAGTCAACGCTCAGGTAATTATTCAGCCACCGGTGAATGGGGCTCATCCTCAAGGCAAAGATCCCCCGTATAGCCGTAACAGACTGTTGGGCCAAGTTCTCTTAGCAAGCAGCACCTATGAAGGCCGGCATGGCACACGAGGGGTTGGTGGCCAGCAACCACGCCCGGCCGCCTTTGTCTCCCTAGTGGCGACGTTTACGCGCCACACCAGATACTCATTTGAGTCTGAGTCGACCTAGTGGAGGCCCGGGACCGGTTCAGATAATCTTTACCGGTGTTGGCCGTGAGCGGGAATCGAACTCGGGTCGCCAGGTTTGTAGCGCAGTGCGCTCACCGCTACACTACCGCTCCCCCACACACGTGCACACACACACACACATACCCATGTGCCCACGAATGAGGAGGCAGCAATTAACGCTCCAACCCACAGTTCCCTGATTGCTGAGTTGATGCGTGCATTGTCCAGATGACTTTGATCTTGTTTCCCCTCCCCCCCCGTGGTTTGGTGGCCAGACGGGCGCATTGCGGGGTGTGGATTGAGGCTATCTCGGCCAAGTTATAACCCCCCGTGGTTTAGGCAACAGCTACGGTTACAGATTACGCGTTCTTGCGAGCTACGCGCATATTGCGTGCATATCAGCGTCGCTGTTAGCCCAGCGATGTGCTTTGTTTCAGATGATGATGCGTGCTGCTAGACCAGCTTCAAAACCCCCCTGCAGAGACATTATGAATTTTCAAATGCTCAAGATCAACGTTGAAGTACTTTCGTTCAACGAACCTGATTGTACATCTCTACGCCTCTGGGTGCTTTAACAATTAATCTGATTATTCTCTGCACAAAAATGAGTTACATCTGAGCCCTTTTTTCAGACAAGCCTGTGACTTTTCCTTTCATTCGGCTGTCTGACACACACACAATTTCATCCATAACTATATTTTTTGGGGCACAGAAGGTGACCTCAATTTTGATGAATTTGTAACATTAGTTAATTGAATGGGAAAAAAAATAACAATCTGTAGGGGAAATAATTAGTGATAATGGTTTCAGTAACTCAGTGTGACCTAATTTACCAGGATCTCATGCAGGGTTCTACGAAATATAAATTCACAATTGTCATCATCAGCCATGGTCACATCCACTGTTGGATGAAAGGCTCCCCCAAGTTGTTACCATCTCCCATGATCCTGTGATGTAATGATCCATCTAGCACCTGCTCACGTGATGATTTCATGGCTCTTGGATGTGTTCCATATTCTTGGACGTGTTCCGTACATTGCTGCCACTCCATCTCTATTCTTGGCCACTGGCCATCGTCTCTTCTAGTGCCGTGCCTTGCCAAAGCCCACTTACTTTTATTTATAGCATAAATGATGCCATTAACCTCAGTATGTTATAAAGTAAAACCTAACTTTTTGTTCTATTTTACCAAGTAAGGCCTCACTGACCTATATAGCTCTTTTTCAGAAACAATCTGGCTACAAATGAAAGGTCGACAAAGTGGCTTATCACATCGAAATTGATAGCAGCCAATTACTCAATGCATGATGTTGATTCTAAATGTGGAGGGAAAACCCCAGAGGAAGCGTAGAAAAATCCACGCGACCATGAGGAATGAGCGAACATGCAAACTCCAAATATACATGCGTCCGAGTTGAGATCAAACCCACGGCCTCCTGCATACCAGGCGAGCGAGATAACATCTCGCCACCGGCGGCGCTCTATTGCGACTTCTGGATATTCGACATTCCTATGGCAGGGGAAAGTGGGTCAATCGGACAGGGGTATTTGTTTTATCTACCCCTGATTGGGATTTAAATTCACATCTTTTAATTGGAAGCACTAACAGCCGAGTCACCCTAACCCTATCAGCGGTAGCTGGAAACGTCAATGGAAATGTATTGCCGCATCAAACCAATTTATGCGAACGGCGACGTGAATGGCATTGGAACTTGTCACCTGTTTGGCTAGAAGGTGGGATTTACATGTTGTGTGTTCTCCTGCAAAGTTATAACCTGACACTTCAGACAGCAATTATGATAATGAGGGTTGATAATGGTGATTAATGAGCTTCCATGGAAAGAGCCCGACATTAGGTTTCGTGACAAATGATGCAGGGAGTGGCAACACACGGAGAATTGTCATCTATCAAAAATAAAACTTGATTAACTATAGCCGAGCGTGCGCCCTTACCTGTAAACTTTTGCCGCATACACAGGTTTCACAAAAGCAATCCGCCCATTATTTATTGATGGATGAGGATGATGATGATTCTGCTATTCGTGGCATTGGTAATGGAAATAATTGTCATCATTTATCTACCTTGGAGAGACCTACTATATATTAGATCACTCGGTGGGTGATACCGCTTTGCAAGCGGAGCGCAACCACAGGCGACGGAACGACCCAACGCACATCCGTCCAAGAGCGCTGCCTTAAATAAAGAAACAAATGTATAAGAGGTGACGCTTCGGGCAATGAGACACGCTTCATCTCACTCTGCCTCCTCTCTCTCGCCTCATTGAGTGCCGTGAAGAAGGGCCACTGCCTCAGCACACGAGCCACAGTGCGTCCGTGTATATACTTCTGGGTGGAGAGAGACGGTGAGTTCTGTGAAACTCGCCCACAGTTCTAACTGCTGAGCCGGTAGAGTTGAACCAGGCAAAAAAAACTTCTGTATTGAAAGTCCAGTTTGCTACTCCATGGCAGATTCCCAATATTTATGTTTAATATATATGCAAATTGCATTACAAGGATACATATCGGTAATGCAGAGATATCAAATTATACAACCGATCCTGGGGAAATTAAGAACAATGCTAATGATACGGGAGGAACGTCATTACTTCATTGCCATGATGATAGAGCCATTCCTATAACCTCGTCTGCAACACGCGCAACGCAACTTGTCCCGACACAATCTGCCTTGAGACGCTTTATACACCGCAGCCTTATCGCACGATTGCATCAAACAAATTGTCTTTGGCAAAATGCTTTTTAGAACATTTTTAACGAGTGACATTAATTGTCACAGCGAGCCACATAATTTATTTATTATTATGATAAGTGATAAATGAACCAGCAATTTTCATGATTTTGAAGATAGTCCCCGTAATAAACAATTAATCAGTTAATTAGGATTAACGCCCGCATCATATTGGTCCATTAAAGGCACATGCTATTCATCACAGCTGTCCTATTGTTGTCCCACTGTGTTGAATCAATCCCTCTGCTAATAGTGTGCCACCCACTGTATTGAATTGCCCATTGTTTACAGACACTGCCAAGTGCTCTGATTAGGGGGCATTTGCCATTATTGACAAGGGGGGCCCTGCACTGGGAAATAATAATCTCCAAATACAAACTACATTGCATCTCCGGGCCTGATGAAAACCCGCCGAGTATAATTAACCAGCATGAATGTAAGTATATCGTTAGCGTTTCCACGGTAGTTATCATCACCATGAAAACGCATCATCACCATCATCGATGTCCTCATTGGAATTGAAGCTTGTCAGGTCATTCACACTAAGGACTGGCTCCCGTCACTTATTTCCTTGCCACAATGTCGACTGGAATCAAGATTTGTTTTTTGTCGCTGCCAGGCATAGAACAAAGCTAATGAATACAATGGGCGAATACCACCAACACTCACTCACCGGGTCAAGTACTGGGGTGATGAGGAAAGCGGCGCCCCAGAGAAATTGTCTGTCAATGCCCCACGTCTCCTGGTCAGACGGAAACCTGGGTAAATGTGAAACAATGTAAAGAAGAGGCACCGGAGTGAATTGAGTAAACATATCTATGAACATTACTCGTGTTCTGTGTCTCCACATATACAACTGAGGATGCAGTTAGACAGCAGGCAAGCGTATGTTCAATCCAAAGAGGGCAAGTCTAAATATCTCCCTCCTCTCAAAAATAAATCATGCCGCTCATATCTATCGGCAGCTCTGAGCCAGTGGTAGGAATTCAACATTCCTAGGGTAGGAAAAAGTTATTTCTGTACTACAATAACTGTTGGGAGTCCCACACAGTGCTAATGATTTCATCAACCCCATAGTCTGATGGGTTTATTCAGCCCCTAGCCTGGATTTTAACTTGCGACCTTCTGATTGTCAGTCACGTGCTCTAATTAAACCGTCACATGGCTGATAAGCGTTGTTCTTGCGTGCACAATTTTCTGATCTTACCCGGGAGGTTATAATTGTTACTCATCTAATACAAACGATTTGACAATTATTGCCATGTTAATATCCCGTAACTTTGTAAGTGTATTTTTGTGAGTTTTTGTCCACTGCTCAATTTAGAGTACAAATAGAGATCACTTGAAACTATTGTTTTCATTTAACAGCAATTCATTTGTCGCATTGCCTAGCGGTTAGTCTTCAAATGCTCATCATTTACTTTACTCATCTCTTGTTTCTACTTCTAAAGTATTTTGTCATGAAATAAGATGTATATATAAATCAAATCAATAACGATACAGTAATTTGAAAAATAAATGATAATTCGTCTATAGTGGACCTTATGTTGTACAATTTGGCAGAGCATCACCAGAGCGTGGCAGCTATACTGTCGACATGAACATCTTCATGACAAATCCCATGAATATCTGCAAATGTATTCAGTTTAATAAAAACGAGCGTATTATCAAAACCATAGGTCCCTGGTGCCATCCAATCAGAATGATCCCATACTGAGGAACACATAAGCTCTTCATGTGACAGATTCACTCATGCATGGAGAAAACGAGGATTATCATAAGGTAGATGGTTTACACAACAACACCCGTCGTTTACCACTAAGTGACAGTGCCGTCACCACGCTGTTTTTGCCATGCTAACTGCACTTTGAGGCCACGTGAAGTGCCGAAGACCGGTTGGCAGGTCACAGAACAGACCCAGGTGCCATGCGTTAACTCACTGAGATGACTGGCAGATGCTCCAACTGTGCTCCCAACTCTGCCAACTTTCTGTGTTTTAGCTGCCCGGCGCTCCACTAATTGTTGTGAGCGTCGCTCCTCTGCCCTCCCTTGTTGCTGGAGGGCGACTGTCTCCAACTCCCCAGCAGCGTCCTTGGTTTGGTTTACATGGTTTACACGACACGAAGACCCCTGTAAAGCCTGAACAGACTCTTGGGGCAAGCGCTATCAGGGAGTACCTATGAAGACCCGCACGGCACACGAGGGGCTGGGTGGCCAGCACCACGCCCGACCGCCTTCGTCTCCCTTGTGGCGAAGTTTAGACACTAGCAACCAGGTACTCATTTGAGGCTGAGTCTCCCACACGCACACCAATACCAATACCCACGATTCGCCATTAAGTGACGGTGACATCACCACGGCGCCTGTGCCAGGCCAGGTGCACTTTGAGGTCATGTGAAGTGTCGAAGTCTCGCTGACAGGAGGAGGTCATGGGACAATACCGAAGCAGGTGCCATGGGTTGACTGACTGAGATGACAGGCAGATGTACCACCAGCTGTGCCCCCTCACCGTGCCAATCGGCCGATGGGTGGGTGGGTGCGTGCATGATGCGGTATCTCACTCGTGCAGGAGGGGCCTGACGACCGTGCCGCCCTGCGTGTGCACGTGGTGGAACAACGTGTAGAGGTACGGCAGCAGCGTGTAGCGGATGGTGAGCGCGGAGATGGACGAGTTCACGAGCAGGGAGTTGGCGCCGAACGACGCCGGGTCCTGGTGCTGCACGGTCACACACAGAGAGGGCGACAAAAGACAAAGATCCCCCGTGTAGCCTCAACAGACGTTTGGGGGCAAGTGGTGCTGTTCGCGAGCAACAATCAGAATCAGCATCTATATTTATACTGGAGGAATCCGATAAGCGATGGAGCTCTTTTTTTCTTCACAGATGTCGAGTAGGGGCGGGTCGGAACATTACAACGACAAACAATGCAAGTGCAAAGAAGAGGAGAGGTTAGAAATTCACGAAAAAGGTACAAAAAAATACAACTTTTTTATTTTACCAGGTAAAGCCGACTGAAATATTAGCTCATTTTCCAGAAGCGATCTGTCCACAAATGATACGGAGAGGTCCTCTGCTAACAGTGGAATGACAAAAAGGGCCATAGTGTACACATCTATCAGAATACACATTGGTTCATGCATCTCTATAAGCTATTTCAACTTTTTTTTTATTTTTACCAGGTAATGCCCACTGAGCTCTACAGCTCTTTTTTCAGAAGCGACCTGGCTGTCACAAATTATTGCTCAACAAAGTGGCTTATCATGTGGACATTTATAGCAGCCAAATACTCTAAAACCACGTTTCTAAATGTGGAGGGAAAAACCGGTGGACCCGGAGAAAAATCCACGCGACCATGGGGAGACAGACATGCAAAACTGCGAATATAATTTTTTCTCCAATCTGTGTTCGGTTTGTAACCACGTACCCCCCCTCCACCCCCCAAAAAAAAAAAATCATCGGAGAAGCTCTACGGTATAGCACAGCTGTAAAACCTACGGGGTGTTTTAATAAAATCACGCGGTCATTCCACTAGGTGTCAGGCTTGCATCGGTCTGAACAACAACAAAAAGATCCACCAGAAAAGTGGCAAACGACGCAGCAGATTGGGACGGTCATCACCGCACGCGGCAGAGATTGTTGCGCTAAATGCAAGGTGTCTCGCAAAGCACACACAGTCGTGCCAAGCTGCCTAATGACGGGCGCATAGAGGCTCTTCAACTGGAATCACATCAGCTATTTGTCCCAAGTGTTTTATTACCGCTTGTCTTCATTGTGTGGGAGCCAATCAAGAGGTTTTTTTTTTTAAATTTACATCTGGTGATGTTGCCGGATAAGATGTATATACATTTTAAAAAATGCCACCAAAGTAAGCATCCAGGTCTCCTTTGAAAAATTAGATTTTCCTGCCTCAACGGCCTCAGTTACATGCAGCAGCCTCTTTGTCAATCCACTGCTGGATCATGGTCTCCCAACACCATTCTGATCCTGGAGGTTGTTTTCACCTTCGCACGCTCACCAGTCTGCGATGGTGAAGGCGGAAGCATAAACGTGGCAGCACTACCCTTTGCTGCCCACAGTGTATCACATCAGTGGCCCATGACACCTGTTAATACATGGTGGTCAACCCATCGAAGCAAGCACTATCCAGGTTCAATCCTGCTCTATTTCTGATATTTGATGATATTCGGTGAACCCCAGGTGATTTTACTACTGGACATCTGTGAAAAAGACATTCGTAGCTCCTCGGATTCCTCCAGTATAAATAAAGATTTTGATTTCGTCAAAAGATAATGTGTATTTATTAACAAAAACACAATGCAGACATCCAAGAGGGAACCACAGTTCGGAGTGACGCCCTCAAGTAGGGCACCTACTGGATACACTTGAGGGCTTACTGCCCTCCTGACCACCACCATAGGGGGCAAAGATCAAGAGCAGAAGATTTGCAGGAGAGGGGGAAAATGGGAAGAAGGGGATGAGGGGGAAAATGTAACCAAACGAATGTTTATTGTAGATGTGGAGGGAAAAAACGGAGGACTCGGAGAACAATCCACGTGACCACAGGGAGAATACACAAACTCCATATACAGTGAGAGAAAAAAGGATCTGATCCCCTGCTGATTTTGTACGTTTGCCCACTGACAAAGAAATGAAAAGTCTATAATTTTAATGGTAGGTTTATTTGAACAGTGAGAGACAGAACAACAACAACAAAATCCGGAAAAAACGCATTAAAATGTTATAAATTGATTTGCATTTAAATGAAGGGAATAAGTATTTGACCCCCTCTCAATCAGAAAGATTTCTGGCTCCCAGGTGTCTTTAATACAGGTAACGAGCTGAGATTAGGAGCACACTCTTAAAGGGAGTGCTCCTAATCTCAGATTTTTACCTGTATAAAAGACACCTGTCCACAGAAGCAATCAATCAATCAGATTCCAAACTCTCCACCATGGCCAAGACCAAAGAGCTCTCCAAGGATGTCAGGGACAATATTGTAGACCTACACAAGGCTGGAATGGGCTACAAGACCATTGCCAAGCAGCTTGGTGAGAAGGTAACAACAGTTGGTGCGATTATTCGCAAATGGAAGAAACACAAAATAACTGTCAATCTCCCTCGGCCCGGGGCTCCATGCAAGTTCTCACCTCGTGGAGTTGCAATGATCATGAGGACGGTGAGGAATCAGCCCAGAACTATACGGGAGGATCTTGTCAATGATCTCAAGGCAGCTGGGACCATAGTCACCAAGAAAACAATTGATAACACACTACGCCGTGAAGGACTGAAATCCTGCAGCGCCCGCAAGGCCCCCCTGCTCAAGAAAGCACATATACATGCCCGTCTGAAGTTTGCCAATGAACATCTGAATGAATCAGAGGACAACTGGGTGAAAGTGTTGTGGTCAGATGAGACCAAAATGGAGCTCTTTGGCATCAACTCAACTCGCCGTGTTTGGAGGAGGAGGAATGCTGCCTATGACCCCAAGAACACCATCCCCACCGTCAAACATGGAGGTGGAAACATTATGCTTTGGGGGTGTTTTTCTGCTAAGGGGACAGGACAACTTCACCGCATCAAAGGGACGATGGACGAGGCCATGTACCGTCAAATCTTGGGTGAGAACCTCCTTCCCTCAGCCAGGGCATTGAAAATGGGTTGTGGATGGGTATTCCAGCATGACAATGACCCAAAACACACGGCCAAGGCAACAAAGGAGTGGCTCAAGAAGAAGCACATTAAGGTCCTGGAGTGGCCTAGCCAATCTCCAGACCTTAATCCCATAGATAATCTGTGGAGGGAGCTGAAGGTTCGAGTTGCCAAACGTCAGCCTCGAAACCTTAATGACTTGGAGAAGATCTGCAAAGAGGAATGGGACAAAATCCCTCCTGAGATGTGTGCAAACCTGGTGGCCAACTACAAGAAACGTCTGACCTCTGTGATTGCCAACAAGGGTTTTGCCACGAAGTACTAAGTCATGTTTTGCAGAGGGGTCAAATACTTATTTCCCTCAATAAAACGCAAATAAATTTATAACATTTTTAACATGCGTTTTTCTGGATTTTTTGTTGTTGTTATTCTGTCTGACTGTTCAAATAAACCTACCATTAAAATTATAGACTGATCATTTCTTTGTCAGTGGGCAAACGTACAAAATCAGCAGGGGATGAAATACTTTTTTCCCTCACTGTATACAGGCGTCAGGATCGAACTGATGACCTTCTGTATACCAGGCGAGGTAGTTAACATCTCGCCACCGTGGCACTCAAATTGTGGTCCCTGGACCAACAGTGGTCCGTGTCGGTCCTCCAGGTGGTCCATGGGGTGGGGATGCAAATGGAGGTTGATCCAGAAATAATGACAAAGTTTATACCTTTTGTTTTGGACATTCATTGATATTTTTCACACGAAATTGTATTTAAAAAAATAAGTTACATAAACTACCCGGATTAATGTATCGGGATTCTAACATATATCTGCCACCGATAAAAAAAAGTATAGCTGTGTTTAAAAAATATATATTTTTATGTTCCAGTAATATGAATTATTTTGTATAACTGGTATTTAGAGAGATAAGTTGAATGCGTTTTGGGGGGCTGGCTGGGTGGTCCGTGGAAATGTTTACATCGGTCAGGTGGTCCCGCGGGCCATAGACGTTTCAGAAATACCGGATTAGAGGGATAGCCACCGAGAATGCATCCACACTTGAGGAGATAGGAGCGAAGAGACAGAGGGAGATGAGAGATGGATGTAGATAAATGAAAAAAAAGAGAAGGGCAGAATAGGGAAATGATCTTACGATTGGATGATTCGAGAGTCTGGAGACGAAAGGGTTTGATTGAGTCAGGGAGGAACCACCGCATGATCAAATACCGCAATATCCAGTGACTCAGTTTTAAGAGAGTTCAAAAGACAGCGAGATGTTTTTACGTTCACTTTCGCTTTTTTTAAGAGAGAAAAAAAGGGCCTGAGGGGTGGGGGGGGAGAAACTCGCCGGACTCAACTTGAATCGTGACATTCACACAGCCTCGCGGCCAGGCCACGATGATGGAAGACGGGTCCAGTGAGAGATGGCCCGCGGTGAGATTTATTCAGATTCCCTGCCCTCTTTGCTCGGTAATGCATCAACTTTGCGGAAATCCTGTTCTCTCGGACTCGTACGGAGAGGGCCTTTACTCGGGAAATTGCAGCGCACCACGTCATTGCAATACGATGCTTCATTGCAAATGAGAAACCAAGGAGAAAAATGGTTAAGTGGAATTTTTTAAGCTATGGGGCAAATTACTATGGGGTGGGGGGCTGCATGTCAAGTATCCAAAGGGGGTCCTTAAAGGCTATTGAGCTGGTCAATAAAGTGTATTCAAATTCATTATCTGACATTTTTGAGAATTTATCGGTAAAAAAACTAATTAAACAAAATAGGACAAGTGTCCATCTATAAGTGGCCACATGGTCGAGCACGTTTGCTTCTCGTAGAGATTCGCAGCTTCAAAGTCAGTGGCCGCCCTGGTTAATACTGTGAGGGTACTAAGCAACAAATCCGCACTGTCTGTTTCTCAGAGGACTTTGGGATGTTATTTGATAAAGGGAGTGGGCTATGTGTGCAGGTGTCACGGTCCAAACTTTAAAAAAATAATTGCTGCCAATTACTGAATTGGGATCACAACCAGTAACATTGCAAAACACTGCAGATTGTCTGTGAAACACCGCACCATCA